TTGAATTCTCTCCGATCTTATGTGCCTTCTTGGCGAGCCGTTAGTCCAGTCCTGACTGCGGAGCCGCCTTTGAGAGAGACAAAATGGACGTTATTCCCGATCTTCGAGGGCTTGATCCTATTCCTACATCCATTACACTCTTCCTCCAGTCTTCTCTCTATATATCTCTCTCCTTCTTTGGTCTCACCAACTTGTATATATGTGTGAATACCTCAATTGATACCCTTGTCAATTCGTCCCAACAGACTCGATCCGTGGTCTGATTACTTCCTTATCGGCGCCATCATCTTCCCAATTCATGATAGCTGAGATACCGAGCTACTAAATTTCGATTAAACCTGGTCCCATCGATTCGGTCTCACGTTTCTGTCTATCTCTTTTACGTCCTATTCTCCGTTTGCTCATATTCTACGTCAATATTGGCAACCATGTCCACCGCGGAACCCCAACGGGCTAATACCCTTCCGGCCACGAGGCCAACCCGGCCCAAATTCAACTCCATGCGCACCTCAGACAGGCTCCGCGAGGGCTCTCTGATCCGAACACAATCCTTTATGACGACGGGGAAGATGAAGAAGGACCGCAAGTCCGTCTTCCGAGAGCTAGGCCTAGATGACGACTGTAGCGATACAAGCTCTCTCCCGCAAACCCCCGCCATCTCTTCTTCCACCCGAAGCCCCAGCATCGATGCGCAGGAGGATCCCATCTATGTGGATTTCACCGAGTCACCTTCAGAAGTTTCGACCCCGTGGCCTTCTTTAGGAGAGGCAAAGGGAAGCCTTGCCGCTGGCGATGTTGTCGCATCGAGATAATTCCGGTGATTCAAGGATCACTAGGACCTAGCAAGCCGCGCCGCCAGCGTTGTCAGATGCGGGCGCTCTACTTCCTCATTCTTGGCTTCTTCTCTTTAGCGGGCGTCTAGGACAGAGATATCCGACGCGTTGCGTTGTGCATTACCACCCCGGGATCTTCAATCAGAACTGTCTTGGGATACTCCATTATTGATGTTATGTGCCTTCCAACATCCCATCCCTCCTCACTTGCATATCAATTGGACCTTTTCTCTCTTTTTCCTACATTTTACAAGAGCTTCCACCACTTACTCGCCTTTCCTGCGGCTCGACGAGGGCCGGGATCACGGTGTCGGGCGCTCGGGATTAAATTGCTTGGATTGATTGGTTGATTTTTCTTTTCTTCTGTTTTGGACGCAAGAAGAAAAAAACGAGTTACTTTGTCAACTGGCTTCGATAAAATGATGGAGCGCGAGGCGTTTAAGGGTTGTTATTTCGGTCAAACTTGGAGGGATTCTACTCATTCATGAGCAGTTTTTTTCTCTCTCCAGGTAAGGCCTTTTGTCTGTATGGTGCAAACTGTTCCAACCATTTGAAATTTGACATGAATATATTGAACCGACTACTTGTATAGTAGGCCCCTCTCTAACCTCCCTAATCTATGAAATGGTCCTTGGTAGAGTGAAGTAAGCTGGTCGACGTGCACATATCAGAGGCAGGCAACAAATCAGCCTGAAAAATGGCCTGTACCACCGGTATTATAGTAGCTTCTGTCGATACAAATCTTGGATAAAAGAATTCAGAGGAACACACGATCAGGGGAAGAAGATGTGATTTGTCGTGTTCGAAGAGTCCGATGTTGTGAGGTGGCCCCTCTGTGGATGCGGCCGGTGGCGCCGCGTCCCCCGACGTGGGCAGTGATTGTTAGATCCGGAGAAATGACAAAGAGGATGGGTCGTAGTGGTCGTATGGGAGTAAATCGTCCGAGTGGAAGATGTGGGTATCTTGTAAGTGATAACTATGTACAGGCGCGAAGGAGCACAGCATCTCGGCGTCCTCCGGCGAAGAACGAGCATAATACGCAACCATCATTGCTTCTTTTTCTTCAATTTATTTTCCAACATTTCCGTTCCTGGAGTGAGGTAGTCATCTTCTTTTGTTAAGGACTCCTTCTCATGCAGGCGCTAGCTGATCAAGAAGATGATCATGTCTGTCAGCGGAAGAATTGCGGAAGAAGAAAAAATACCGATCCTGAAGAAATTCCAGGAGATTCTTGGCCTCTGTAAGCTCGCCAACGAGACTGAGACGGTGGACGGCGTCTACGCCCATGATGGCTTCTCTGCACATGCGATCCGTGTTGCTTGAGATGTCCCGATCTTTGACGTCCTCAAAGTAGGCGACCGCCGGCCTGTGGGTCGGTGTGGTGGGGTGGTGGAGGTAGAGGTGTGCGACGGGGAGTTTGGTGATCGGGAAGAGGTCGCGGCCCACGGCGTGGTAGGAATCGAAGAGAGAGGTAGAGAGGGCTGGTTTCCGCCAGGAGGCGATGGTGGCGCGTTTGGCGAGGTCTAACCAAGGTTTTATGATGAGGGGTCTGTAGCGAGGGTCCTTGCGGTACTTCTTGCTCGCTTGGACGACGGACTTGAAGGCGGTGTCGATACATTCGGCGCTTGTCACCTCGGCGCGGACGAGAAAGAGCAGCAAGCGCCGTGCTGAGTCGAGGGAGGCTTGGGACGTGGGGCCGTCATCTGACATGAGCCTTGCTATCCAGGACCAGACCAACTCCTCCCGGCCCTCTGCTACGAGAAATTGCACAAAAACCGCTGCGAACCTGGGGAAGCGTGCGAATTCGAGGTTCTGTTCAAGGCCTGCGGAGCGGAGCCATAGCATTACCTTATCGGAGACGTCGAAGCCCGAATAGTCTTCGAAATTTGCGGCTTGCTGATCCTCTCCAAATATGCTTTGCCGGTCTCGTATAAGGTGGATCTTCGCCGTTAAACATCCCGTAGCAATTCTTATCGTCATTAATCCCTTCGACACGGCCTCCTCAAACACATCCATCGGATCTCGTTTTGTGCGGGGTTCCTCAGTCGGGTAGGGCTTTCGCTCGGGGATGGCAGCTGATTTTGTGAGAAAAAGGGGGTTGGATAGAATAGACGCAACATGGTGGTCTGTTGGAAGGCGGCGTGTCTCTCCGAGCCTGGCATCGCGATTCACTCGCGTCGGTGGTCGGGTGGGAGCTTCGGACTTGCCGTCGCCGGAGGGTTTTTGTTCTTCACAATCCAACCATCCGTGCTCTTTGTCGAGGTTTCTCCTAAACGACGTCGTCACGGCATCGAGGAATCTTTCGGTCTGGCGGCGAGTGAGGGGGTCTGGGTAGTGAATGGACTTGAGGATGAAGGAGGGGTCGAGCTTCAAGCGGAGAGGTTTCGAGCTGAGCATTTTGGTGTGGCGGAAAAGCCGCAATCAGAGGAACCCTTCTTAGTCTACGTTCAGGTGAATTGGGGTTCCTGAGGGTCTGAGATTCGAGCTGTTGGAAGGACCAGCGGTTTGGATTGAAACGAAGCTTCCTCGAAACACCAGATATTCTTCGGATCCATCACCTTGGCCTGCGGAGCATCGGATGACATCGTTCTATCACGTGATTTCTAGCCTGTAGGTTCAACTTGTCACATTGCAAAATCCAACTCAAGAGGATCGATGAGTCAGCAACGAGCTATCTTGGCTTGAGTACCAAAGTCTTAGCCTCAACCTTCAAATTCAAATTACGACTCGGTTGACAACTCCGTAGGTCCCAAGTACCGGACCCTAAAATCAACCTCCTCCATGCGTCATTGTGTACTCGACGAATGGCGAATGGTTGGTGCTCTCTTTGTTCTGGGGTGTAAACTCGGCTTATAACTTCAATTGTGTGTCCCTGCTGAAAAACACTGGCGAGGGTCATCTTTGTCAGGTGACGAGACTCCCAATTCAGTCACGGACCGGCACTGATGCCGCTCCATCCAATGGTCGCGTGAGGCGAAGCCCAGCATTGATTCTGTCACCAACCGTGCATATTGCAAAGGTGCAGTCGTAAAAGTTTAGAGACAGCGCAGGTTTCTTCGCCCTGGAAATGAAAGAGAAGAAGAAAACTGAAGCGACTAGCGACTAGTAATGCCCGGCTATCTAAGAATGGTGAAGGCCCACTCGTCTTACAACACGTCAGAGTTTTGCAAGCCTGACTGGAATGCGAATTGTGGGATGGGTGTTGTAAGCCCTTCCCATCAGTCGAACAGATGCAGGGTGCAGTGCCTAATTACGAAGTTGACGAGGCTATCGGCGTCTCCTTTTCTGCTGCCTACCAGTTTCTGTTTGGAGTTGAGAATTGCCATTGTAGATTATTCTAAACTATCTTATCATCGGACGACGCCGAGACACTTCGGGTGTTTCTCCATCCTGGGTCAGATAACCATCGTGACGCGTGCCCCAAGCGAAGCGCTGACAAGGGGAGCTTGCTCTGTTCTGCAGGTGTATAATTTAGGGGCGGGCTCGCCGCCTATTTTGTGAAGTAGAAAGTGGTTGCTGGGCCTTGCAGCTTCCCCGTGGCGGCGAGGTACCAGGTACTTGTGGCTCGGAGGCAAAAGAAACTTCAGGTCAGAAGTGATAGCACCTGATTCGTGCAAGTACTGTAGTAACACTTTCTCTATAACATATGCAGTGCTGCTGCTAAATTGATACCATAAATAGCCCCAAAGCACTTGCCCCATCTGGTACCCTTGGGGCGACCCTAGATGAATGGCGCAAGTCTCTGGTACCTTGTACCTTGCTGCTAACACGTCGACACACCAGCAGCCAGCAGCGAGGAGGAAATCCCAGCACTAGCACCGTGTACTCTCGTACTTTTTGCCTTGACAAGCATCAGCCTCTCCCGTTCACCATTTTTTCCTCCTTCCTTCCACCCCCAAACCACACCACCCCCCCCTTCCAACCATCATCACAAAATCCATCAAGAAACGTCCCAGATTCACGTCGGACGCGCGTCGCCTATCCACCTCGGTGTACTCCATCGTACGCCTTCCTTTCTCGAACCTCTAGATTGAATCAAAAATCGACGAGCCTGTATTGACCGCGAAGCTTGAAATTCCTGTGCAACGGAACTGGACCCGTCTGCCCATCTTCCCTTCTTTTTTTTCCCTTCCTCACCCAAACCCCATATCTTTCGTCTCGCTCATAATGTCCGAGACTGCGACTCGGTCTGGTGCCTCTAGGGGACGAGGCTCTGGCCGTGGCGGGAGAGGCGGATTTTCGAGTCGAGGAGGCCGTTCATCCGGAAAAACTAATGGCGATAGCCTTGACGCACTCGATACTCCCTCCCCTGCTGCCTTCGATGAAGATGCAGATGTGGCCGAATTGAGGAAGCTATACGGATCCAAGGTCTACCCCATCAAGGACATGTTCCAAGGCTGGTCGGAAGTCGATATTTTGTACGCTCTACAGGAGGCTGATGGCGATGAGAATCTCGCCGTCGAAAGGATTGCTCATGGTATGTGTGATTTCATCTATTCACCTCCGTCACGAATCGTCGCGAGCGACTTGATACATTTCGCCACATCTGATTTCCCTGTCGTGTTCTGTTTTCTGCTCATGCTTCGAGAGCCTACCCAACCGCGTTTTGGAGCCTGAAAACGGTTTCTTTTTTTCTTTTTCCTCCTCGCCTTTGGCACATCGACGCTAACGTTGTCATCTTTTTCCATTTAGGCGCTGTGTCTCAATGGGGCGAAGTCTCCTCCAAGTCTAAGAAGACTCGATCGAAGCCAAAGGATACGGTAAACGCGGCAGCCACAACCGATTCCCATTCAGGCAGCACCAGACCCTCGCGTGGCGGAAGGAATGTTTCTGAGAGTGGACGCGGTGGCCGAGGTCGTGGCGCCGACAGGGGCGGTCGTGCTCCCCGCAGCCGACCTGCTCAACCTGCTACCAACGGCGCCCGCAAGGAACATAACCTTTCAGTTCCTACCGAAGAATCGACTGCCTGGGATACTACTACTACGACCAAACAGGGCGACTCTGAGAGTCGAGGTCATGCAGCTGCCGAGCAGCCAGCCTCTGGCCCTGAGCCTACGAAGGCAGCCGCTCCCCCGGCCAAGACCTGGGCTAGCATGCTCAGGCAGGCGACCGCGCCTAAAGTTGCGCCGAAGCCCAAGGAACCCCCCGTCCAAAAGCCGACCGAGTCTTTGGAACCTCTCCCCCCTGTCGAATCCCCTGCTCCCATCGAGGCCCCTGCTGCCGCAGAACCTGAACCCGAACCCGAACCCGTTGAGGCTCCTGCGACCGAGGAGGCACCTAGCCCTAGCACTGAGGCGACTGAACCCGCGACAGAGTTGCCGCCTACCAAGGACGCGCTGACAGAATCCAACCTTGAACAAGTCAACGATACATCTGCGCCTGCTCCCACCGACACAGCCGCTAGCACCGCTGCCGACTCCTGGGCGCCCGCGCCTGCGGACATCAGCTCCGTCCCAACCCCCACTTCTCATGCCCCTTCGCAGACTCAACCCCCTCCAGCTGTACCTCAACCTGCTGGATTTGTTGCTACTCCTACCAAGCCCGTGGGACGTGCTCCCCACTTCCAGCGCCGCATCCTCGATCAGGAGGAGGCGGTCAGAATGCCCGGCAACCGCGAGGTCGACCGTGCCGCCGTTCAGTTTGGCGCATTCTCTCTCAATGGAACCGAAGAAGATATCGATGGAGATCGCGAGGAGCCTGAGACCCGGGCCCAGCCTCCCGATGATTCGCCTATTGCTCACCCTCGAACCTCTCTCCCCCCCGTTTCTCAACCCAATGCTGTTCCCGAATCGCTCTCTCAGAAGCCTGCCGCCCCTGCCGTCCCCGCTGGCGCGCCAACCGGTATCGCCCCTGACCTCGATGGCTCCGTACAAGAACAACAAGCTAACGCTCCCTCTCTAGCCCCCGCTGCGCAAGCCCAGGCTCAGCAGCCTATCGCCGGCCAGGGTATGTTTTCATCCTTTGTCGGTACGAATGATCTTTACACTAACGGCCTTCCCTATTCAGCTCAACCCGTCGCTCAGACAGCTCAGTCGTTCGGTCGCTTCGGTGCCCAAGAAGGCGCACCGGGCTTCGCCTCTCTAAACCAACAGGGCGCTGCTACGATTTCGCACCAGCAGCAACAGTACGAAAACTTCCAGGCCCAACAGCAGCCGGCTCAGCCCCCGCATACGAGCGGCGCATTCAGCTCAGCGCCGGGCGACTTCTCGTCTTACTATACCGCAGACCAGCAAAACCGTGCTCCATACAACTACTACGGCCAACAATACGGCCAACAGCAGCACCAGGCTAGCCAGGGCCAGCCGGAGCCTACCGCCGCTACGCAGCAACCCCAACCTCAGCGCGCCTTCGGCGGATACAACCAACCCTCGCAGGCTGATAACCTCAGCCAATACCCCCAAAGCGGTGTGGGTGGTCTCCACAACCAGTCGCGTTTCGGCGGCGTCGCGACCGATCCTCAAAGCAGCGGTCATACCACGCCCAACCCTCCCGGCCAGGGCCAGGGACAGCAGCAGCCGACGGGCCAAACTTCTCAGCCCCAATCTCACGCGCAACAGAACTATCCCTACAATACTCACCCTTACTTCAACAACCCCTACTATCACACTTACTACGCGCAAGCCTACGGCCAGGGCGGCTACGGCGGAGCACCCTATGGGAAGGGAGGCATTTACGGAGCGCCTTACAACATCCCTCCCCAGGCACCATATGACCACAGCTCGTCTCCTGCTGGCGGATTCCAGTCGTCGCTCCACCGCGACAACAACGGCATCGGGTCCGGACTAGGCGACTACGGACGGGTGGGAAGCGCGCAGTCTGGACACCAGGGCGGTCTTGGAGCCAGCTCCTTTGGCGGCATGCACGACACTTTCGGACGCGGGCCCTCTTCGTACCAGTCCCAGGCTGGGCAAGGTTTCAACGCGCAATCCCAGGGTGCCGGCTCGGGCTCGGCTAACGATGACTTGAAGCCCTACGTCGACTCCAAGACTGCGGCTGGCCCTTCACCTTCCCTCGGTGGCGCTCGTCCCGGATCGGCGACTAACAACGCCCCCGCCGGACAAGGCGGTCTCCCCCCTCAGTCCAACGCCCAAATGGCTGGTTATGGTGGCTACCCCAGCCATCTCCAGCAGGGCCTCCACGGATCTAGCGGCTACGGCATGGGCGGCGGCAGCGGCGCGGGCCAGCACGGAAACACACCTTACGGCTCATACGGCCAAGGCGGCTTCGGTAGCGGCGGATACTACGGCGGTGGTGGCCAGCAACAGCAGCAGCAACAGCAGCAGCAGCAACGCGGCGGCTGGGGTGGAAACTACAACCACTAGAAGAAGGGTACCCGCCCACATCACCGGACCGATAGGCGCCGGCGTTACGGAGGCCGATCGAAAGGCGCCAGGGAGGATGAAAACACAACACCATGATGGATTCTTTGATTTCTAGCCAAGTTAACGGGTGGGATGGTTTTTGTTGTTGATGATGATAAGGGTAATCGCTTTGCATCCTCGAAATAAAAGGGTCGAGGCAGGGAGTTTATACACACACACACTCATCCCGGCAATTAGCAAGGGATTTTTTTTAAGAGTGTCGAAAACAAAAGGAGGAAAAAAATGGGAGAGGGGGGAGGGGGGGGGGATCATAGTATGACCAAACACACAAGGGCTGTAATAACGGGAAATACTTTGTTCTAACAACTTCTGCTTTATGTTTTTGTTTTTGCGCGGTTTTCTCTCGAGAAAATGTGTCTCCAGTTTTCGGGTTGTCTTTTTTACTCTCTTTCCCGTTGTTCTACAAACTCCCCCTTTTCTATCATCATCAAAAAGGGTTCTCTGTGTCATTTTATTAAAAACTCCGCTTTTGGTTTGTTCCTATTCTTGTCTGTTTTCTTTTTCCCTCTGCTATTATTTGTTTCCAGGTGGGATCGGAGGGAGGCGGGGATTAGGTTGAACAAAGGGAAGGGTTTTTTTTTTCTTGTTCCTTGTTATCGTTCACACATCTTTTGTTCAAAACAGAAAAAGAGAGAGATTCTCTTGTGTTGATATTGTTTCTCGCTCGACTTGCGTTTCTGGGATTCCTTTGTGTATTTTTTTTATTGCCGAAAACAGGACAGAAGGAAAATGCAAAGGATGAAAAGGGAATGACATGAGAAAACAAGAGGGTCTTTTCTTTTTCCCTCTTCTTGTGGTTGATAGGATGAGAGTATGAGAGAGAGAAAAAATAATTTCCAAAAAAGAGAGGAAAAAAAAAGAAGAGTGTGTGTGTCTGAGATGAGATGTGTTTTATCTTTGCTGCTTGGTTGGCTTTATGTGAAGTTCAATGTTGTTTCTTGAGCCTGGAGAAAAAGATGAAGAGAGGGAGAGAGGGAGAGAGACAGTGGTGTGGAAAGATTGCATGTGTCCTTCTCTCTTGAAGGCTGTATTTATATCGAGGCATGGAGATGGATGTACTATTGAGTTGTAGCCTTTAAATGGGATCTTTGTTTTTCATCCCTCTGCTCCCCAAAAGAAAAGTTTCTGTCTTGATAACTGAGAAAGTAGGGCTCTATGGAATGGCTGTTATATTTGCTTACTTGCCCTTGGTTCTCGAGAGAAAAAAAGGCTATTGCAAATGGCGAGAAGGAAGGCAACGGGAAGAGACAAATTACATCGACAACAACGGAGACTAACTATTCATCAAGGAAGCGAGTAACTTGGCGAGGCGAGATCTCTCTGTACAGCAGTAGAGAGTTTAGAGCCTTCTCCCTCCTCCCATGGACTGCCCTCCTCCCCCATTCACCTCCCATTTCTCCACTTTCCCACGTCTACATGAGTTCGAAATGCCATCAAATGCTCTATCATCTCATTCCCTTTCTAGTCATCAGCTCTGCAACAAGGACTTGGGGTTTATCAGGAGAGGAAGGAGGAAGATGGAAGCAGGGAGGATTGAAGTCTTTTAGGAGAGTTCCACTCAATGCCTTTATATCAACATTTTAACATTCAACATGAGAAAGCAAAAAAAGAACAGAGAATATCTACACTGAATAATGTGCACAAGGCTTGTTTTTCCTTCTTCCCTCTTCTGGAAGAAATGAAAGAAGAGAAAAGAAGATAGACAAGAAGAACAAGAGAAGAGGGGAAGAAAACAGACTCTTGCTCCCACAGGATGGAGTGTGCGTGACTCGAAGAAAAATGCCTTGCCAGAACCAGGACCTGGTCTTTTACGTTTATTCGACGGTGGAACCGATGGGACCGTAGCGGATGTTGGACCAGATGACCTGACTGTAAGGAATACGTTAGCAATACTGATGGATAAGAGAGAACAGATAGGGGATTGAGAGTTTTTCATCAAGAGATAAAGACGTACGCATCGGGGTGGTTGGCCTCGACGTCCGAGGGGACACCAGAGTCCTGGGCACAAGGACCACGGGCAGCACCGGGGGTTCCCTCCCTCTCGGGCGGGTAGGTAGAGTCGAGCCAGAGCATGTTGGCGTAGTGCTGTCATTTCCCCAACAATGTGTCAGTTCATAAACCTCTAGTATCAATTGCAGGGGGCCATTTCATCAATGGTCGTAACTTACGTCGTCCCAGATAGACATGACGAGGACCATGGGAATCCTAAGGGCGTCGTTGAGGAGGGGCCATCCACCGACGTCGTTGAATCGGTTGAAGTCGTCAAAGACCTCAAAGACCTTGTCGCAGAACTCGGGGGTGATGGCCGAGGAGTCGGGAAGACCCTCGAAGGTCGGGGCGGGGATCTCAATCTTCTTGCCGTCCTGGACGAAGAACTGAGACATCTTGTTCTCCTCAAAGCGAGTGACGACACTATTGTTCGTCTTCTTGTTAATATACTTCCCAGGTTCTTTTCAAAGACTGGCGGCAACGACTTACGTGAACTTCTTGCTGGTGTCGACAACCTTGCCGATACCATAGAAGTCGGGGTTACCCATGCGGTAGGGGTTATAATCGCAACCGTTGGCGTCGCAGAGACCGTTGAAGCGTTCCTCGGAGTAGGTACCACCGCAGGTGTCGTTCTCGCAGACGTGGTAGTTGTTGTCCTTGCAAGGGTGGGGGGTAAGAGCGAAGGCGTGGGCGTTGGACTCCCTATGGTGTTGCAATCTATGTTAGAAATAATTTCCTGCGCCTCTATCATGAACCCGAAGAAGAACAGTAAATCAAACAGTAAATCACATACCAAACGTCAATCTCGGCACAGCAGGCACCATAAGGGCCGACACCAGCGTTAGCATCGTTGGAAGAGGGCTTCCATCCCTCGACGTTACCCTAAGAAATAGTGGTTTAGTAACTCTTTCTTTATTCTTTGGCATGGCAAAAGCCAGAGGACATGGGGAGTGTGCAGAGATTCATTTACCTTGCCACCGACGAACTTCAAGTCACGGGCGCACTGGGCGTCGCAGTAACCAGTACCATACTTGGCACCAGCCTTGTTGGTGGAGTAGCTCGCCATGCCACCATCCTCCTCCATAGCGACGAAGTAGAGGGCACCGTTGAGACCGCACTCGAGGGTGGACAGGTCAACATCGAAAGTGAACTCGTGGTCCATGAGGTCGAACATCTGGAACTTGTCCGCTCCGTTCATGAGATAGAATCGGGAGCCAATGTTGGTGCCGTACTCGTGCTTGGTGAGGAACTTGAGGGTGAGGGCGTCACCGCTGGTGGAGGCACCATAGGTCGTGCCATAGTCGGCGCCCTCGATGGCACACTTCTCGGCACACTCGGTGCCAGTCTTGCAGACGGACTCAACCCACTCATTTCCATCGTAGCAGTTGTCATAACCGTCGGTCGTGTGGAGCCAGCGCCAGTTGGCGTCAATGACGACCTCGGCGTTGACGGTCGTGCAGCTGCCGGGAGCGGTACACTTCTTCCAAGACATCTTGGGGTGAGTCTCGGTCTGCTCCTTGCCGACCTGCTGGGCGGCAACCAGCGAGGCGAAGAGTCCAAGGGTCGTGGCGAACTTCATTGTGACGAGATTTTTTTGCTTCTTCTTCTTTTCCTTTTTACCGATGGTATATGATCCAGAAAGATGAGCGGGAAATGAGCGACAGAGAACGCGGCTTCTTGCTAAACAATGTGCCTAGAGAGCTGAGGAGCATCACAAAGGGACCTATCTCGACCGGGGGACCGAGGATTCTTATAGAGAGAGAGAGAGAGAACAAAGGACGGAGCAAGGAGGCGCTGTCCCTTGGGGAGGCGCCTCTTGCCAAGGCCATGGTAATTAGCAAAGGGCCTCTCTACCTCTTCAGAAAGAGCTCAAAGTCACTTTTACCAAACGGGGTAGAACCGTCCGAAATTACAGGCTGGTCTCTTCATCCTCGTTAATCGTGAGTATCGAGCCCTCGAACGGCTGGATCGTGTGCACAAAAAGTTGATTAACACTTTAATCAAATATTCATGCTAGCAAGCCCGGCGACCGGCGGTGTCTCCATGTTCGAAACCCAGGAGCTTGTTTAATTCACCATAGCGGGAAGGAGAGCAAAACGGGGTCCGCCTCCCCACGCCCCATGGCCCCACGGAGCAGTAATATCTTTTTCCTCCCTTTCTTTCTTGGAGAGCCATGGTTTCATGAGGGGTCTCCCGCCCGCTATCCCCAATGAGTTGAGCATTGACGAAGGGAAACGGATGCTCAATTCCGCCGGCTGTCGGTCCAAATTGGAGAAGGACTGGGTGTGTGGAGACAGATCCATAAAACAGCCGCCTTCGAGATGCGGCTTCCAGAAAGGAAATCCGGAGAAAAACGTGGCGGCTATCAGGGCTAAAGGGCCGTCATCCTGCCAGGAAATCTCACACCCTCCCCTTGTTGGAGACGATGGTTAGCATGCACACAGAAGGCTTTTCCTCTTTTTGCCCCTTTTCTTATTTTTTTTTTTGTCTTTTCAAGTGCGGGTGAGTGGAGCTCCTCTCCAGTCTGGGCATGACCACTTTGCACATTGCATCTTTTTCGTACTTTGCGTACGGATAATAGGACGGCCGGTCCCAATGAGCGGAGCCCCCGTTCGGTACGATTTTGGGTCTAATGGAGAAGAGCGAGCAGCAGGTCGCTAGAAGTGCCGTGCGTGCGTGCCGCGTATCCACTCTCGACGGGAGACGGGTCGTAATCATAGTGAGGGAAAAAGAAATGGGGCGTCGAGCCGTTTGCTGGTCATGTAAACCAGGGTAGGTGGTCGAAGACGCCCATCACGGTCGGTGGGGATGGTTAGGTCGAAAATCGTCGGTTCTCGGTGTCCTCGCTTTCGAGGAGGGATTCGACCTATAAGTAGACGTCTTGGACCCTGTCTCGAGGGAGCACAAGAGTTGAGGCTCAAGATGGGCTTTCTGTATGGCAATACACCAATTTCTTTGTCCCACCACCTTCGTCAACATCGACACGACGACTACCACCTTGAACACGCACGAAGGGGGGATGTGGAATGTTCCAGGCGAGATGGGCATCCTGGCACTTGCAGCTGCCGATCACCGAGCGATCCTGGGGTAAATTCATAATCATTAACGGCTTATGAACGTAAATTGGGGCAAGTGCGGAGTCTACATGTATTCTCCAAGGCACCTGAGTATGGCCGAAGAACTCGTATGTTGTGAAACGAAAAGGGAGGGGCGATAAAGAATAGGATTACAGGGCCGGAAACACGGATAAGATGGATGCGTAGGCAATATATTCGAGGGGGTGTTGGGAGAAAGACAGAAAGACAGAAAGACAGAATCAGCGTGGTTGTGGAAACCAGACGACGTGATCAACAGTTCCAGAGCTTCTTCCACTGGGGCGGAAACAACACTCGCAGATGGCTGGGCTGTGCCAAGCAACCCGATGGGATGAGCTTGGTTTGCTAGGGGCGTGAAGAAATTCTAAAGATGAAGAGCGCTCGGTGTAATGAAGGATTTTGCGTTCATCAATGGCCGCCGCTCATATTAGTTGCCCTGATCAACTGATGATTATTATTCTCTCGTTCAATGCGACACCGAATCTAGCTCAAACTACCGCTCCAATGGCCGGACTCCATGGAAATATCATCGTGCATTATCGGTAGTGAAGCTAAAGTAAACATGAATCCGCGACAGAACGTGGCCCAAGGTGCGGAACGGGTTTGCGGGGACAGCGGACAGCGGACAGCGGACAGTAGACAGCGGTTGAGAGTCGACCGAGAATGGGACCGACCCATATGCTACGAGGTCGATGCCCGGACGATCGAGTCTTTCCCACGATTTTTGTCGAATGAAAAAAGGACTATCCGAGATGACAATTCCGTGTGGTTGTAATCTCGAATTGATTAAAACGGCACCGGGACTGAACGATTTGGACAAATTGTTTCGCCACCTGACAGCATCCTTTAATTACCAGATATTCATTAATGTATCCAAGTATACAATGCCGTCGTGTATAGCGTATATAGTATAGTCTTAGTGCTGCTGCGCCATGCGTGAGTGGGTGATCGACCATCCAGGTCCGGGGGCAGCGTTCCATGATGGGAATTGGTTCAACCTCCTCCGTTCAGGACAATCACTCAACGCCTAGCAGCGCGAATCAGGTTCCTGGGCCCGTAACTTGGGATTTTTGGAGCCCAAGAAACCTCTGCAGGTGCGCTGCGAAGTCTGCGCAGAGCCTGTGCGGGGTGTTGCCGAAACACCGATTCGGGACACTTCCCAATTAGGAAAACCCGGACCACAGCTCCTTTCTCTCGTGCGGACTTATTTACCCTGTTTTGTCCTCGAGCTGTCTGCCCGTCCGACCTTCAGCGCGCAGGTCCAGATATTCTCAGGTGAAGCGGTTTGACGATATTATTTTCTTCCCACCGCCTGCCCCGTCTTCAATTGTGTCGAGTGGAGGTCGCAACAAGGTTAGCGGGTGATGCGCGCCAAGCGGCTGGGCGGGTCTGGGCAGACTTGACGATTTCCGGGCTTCGCGTGACCGACTGCCTTTCGAGCCGCCGCGGACTGTGAGTGGAATTATGGGGCGTGGACAGGGGAATCGAAGAACATATAAAGCCCTGTGCGTCTTCTTGGCTATTCGGCACGCAGAAAAAAAGTGGTTCGGCCGCTGTCTGGGGACCGGGACAAGACTTGAAAACTGGGGTATAAAATGTTTGCGAGACCCACGAAGGGTGGTGGGACAATCTTCGCCTTGAGACCCTCCCGATCTTGGCCTCCTTGGCTAGCTTGGCTTGCTTGGCCGCTTGGCAAGTTGTTGAGCTGCCGCCAAGAAGGATGGTCTCATCGCTTGATAAGAAGAGGCACTCAAAAGAACAGGACGAAACGGGATTTCGCGGAATATCCCTGTCGCTCGCTGCTAGTCGCGCCCGGATCTCCGCCGAAAATCATCGCCATTCTGCCTGCTCACCAAGGGCACAATGGGCTTGGAACAGCTCGGGGGGAAAGTTCGTCTCATGCTCAGATAAAAATAAACCGAGCAAGGAGGTTTTTGCAGAGCTCCACTTACTATTACTCGAGCTATTTTAATGCTTCCGGCTCCGTGATGAGCGACAGGACCCCTCGGATACATGACTCCACGGGTGACGTGCAATGTTCTGATCTTGAGTTCAAGTTAGGCAATTGTAGGGCCAATTGGCACTGAAGATTTGCAGAAAAATGGCTAGAGCAGAATAAGAAGGTTCACCGTGACATAAAATAGGAAATTGCCGGAATTGAGTATTCAATCCTCCGGCTTGTTATGAGGTTGGTTTAGCTATGTAGATGAGGCTCTTCGATGCTCCAGTTTAAATATCGTCGGTTCGTTCCAGGTGCGATTACTAAAATCGTCGGCTTGACTTCGTTCATTGTTCATTTTTCCTCGACCTCCCAAGGTGTTGTTGCCTCCAGCCACAAATCCGCCACAGCCATCACCCCTCCAAGTTGTGGCTTGAGGTGGGGCATCGCATTATGCGCTGTGAAGCTCTCATGCTGATGACTCCTACACATCAAAATATATTTTCAAAACCGCGAGTGACAGGAGCACAGCACATGCAATGCTCTATGGTCGTCTAAATATCTTTCCTTTGTGCTAGTTGGCATCTCCTTAGACTACAGCATCTCTTTCACTCAATTTTTACATCACTCCTTTCCTTCGACTAGATATTCCATTCGCCCCACCTCTCCGTCTCACGATGCCCTCAGCCATCACAGCGCCGTCGCCTGGGCTGCAGGCCTTAATTCTCTGCGGCCCTGGCTCATCCTTTCCAACCTTTACATCAAACCCAGATGAGAACCCCAAGGCGCTATTACCTATAGCGAACCGCCCTATGGTCTGGTATCCAATTGACTTCTGCTACCGCATGGGCATAACTGGTACTCTTCACCCCCTGCCAATCCACCCATCGAGAGCATGAGAAGCTGACCACGAGTTCAAGATATCACACTGATCTGCCCTCCAAGCGCGTCACAAGCTATCACAAGGGCGCTAAACACCAACCCCTTCTTAACCGCCCTGCCCCTACCTCGCCCAGGTGTCTTGGCGCCCGACGGCCTGGACCAGAACACTGGCACTGCCGCGATTCTTCGTCTCCCGGAGATTCGACAGCTTGTACAGTCGGATTTCTTGGTCTTGCCGTGTGATCTAGTCTGCGAGCTTCCGGGAGAAAAGTTCCTGCATGCCTGGATGACTACTGCTGCGAGTCTCTCTTATGTGTTGGGCGATAAGAGGCTCGCCGAAGACGACGGCTCGCCTCTGTACAACGGTGGTCTCGGCGTTTGGTACGATACCAAGACGGCCAATCCAATCAAGGGCGAAGAGACGGATTTTATTGCGACGACTCCGCTTCCCCCCGTAACTGCGATAACTCAGAAGGGCTCCCTCTTGCCCCACGTATCTAAGCTGGTATACTCGATGCCTACCTCGTCCCTATCCGACCTTGTCGAGGAGCGCTCGGGGCTACCTGTTAGGCACGGTCTCATCAGGAACCACCCGCGCGTTCGAATGCTCACCACCCTCCGAGACGCTCACATCTACATCTTCCCGCGCTGGGTCATCGACTTCGCATACAAGAATGACAGGCTCGACAGCATCGGAGAGGACATCACCGGCTGGTGGGCTAAGGCAGGCTGGGAGAAGGGCCTCGCCGAAAAGCTCCACCTTGGAGAAGTTTTTGCCGAAATTGAAAATGGCGCCGGATCTAGGAGATTTTCTGCCGAGGATAGCCTCTCCGGCAACGGCACCCCTGTAGGATCCCCGAAGGACACCAGCAGCATCGAAACCGCGTCGATCCCTCCCATCCTCGCCTATCTCCACCCCAACGAACCCGATGCAGCCGTCATCCGTCGAGTAGATACCGCGCGATTACTCCTCAGCGTTTCGCTCCAGCTGGCGAAAGTGCCCTCAATCGAGGAAGTCGGCGCCGAGGCTGCCTCACCTTTCGCCCATCCGAAGAAGGTGGCTTACCCTGAGGGAGTCAAGTCAAGGACGACTATTACCAAGGCCGACTCGCTCATCGCAGACCATGTCACGGTGGAAGAGAAGACTTCGATCAAGGAGAGCGTCATTGGAGCCCATTGTCAGATTAAGGAAGGTGCCAAGATGCTACAATGCGTTCTTATGGATGGCGTAACGATTGGCAAGTCGTGCAAGCTTACGAGGTGTATTATTGGTAAGAGAGCCGTTATTGGCGACAACTGTGTTCTCACAGACTGTGAGATTCAAGAGAATTTGTTGGTCGAGGCAGGAAGTAAGTATTGCCCTTGGAAGCTTTTATTTACGCCAAGTCCTTCTCCCCCATTCTTCCGTTACGTATCGTGGCTAACTATCTGACTCTCTTTTTCTAGCTGAGGGCAAGGATGAGAAGCTTATGAGCTCCGAGGGCCTCGAGGCGACGGAGGAGGAGATGAGAGAGGTCCTTGAAGATGCCGGTGATGATTTCATGGCTGATGAGGCCATCATAACTTAGCGATTCAGTCGTTTCTTGCGGGGGATGTAACTTGGGATGAGCGAAACGCCGTGGAAAATAAAAGACGAATAAAATTATTGTACGAAAACTATGCCTCTCTTTACAGTGTTCCTGCCCACGATCCTCCTTCACTCCAAGAACGGTTTTAGCGAAGCCATTCTTCACCCCCGGCAAGTTAATAGATGCGAACAACTCCTTGGGCTTTTCCCTCGGGGAAGGAGGCCAACCTCTGGCGCCTTCCTCGACGCACCCGGCCCCGGCCGTATATGCTTTATATATGAGGTTACAGCAAGAACTCCCAACCGAGCAGCTCAAGCACCAAGACTGCAACCAACTGGCCAAGTGGTCAATTGGAGCGCTCAGAAGGTTAGAAAATGGCAAATTTTCGTAGCCCGTGGGAAGCAACCAGGATTCGATCCTGGGAAGCGACCCGCGGGCGAGCTTTTTGTTATTTTCTATTTTTTTTTTTTTTTTTTTTTTTTTTTTTTTTCTTTTTGTCACCTCAGTTATAACATCAAATGATTGATTAATTACCTTGTCACAAAAAGTACAATTAAATTCGCAAGAAGAACATGAAGCTATCAACACGTGGTCGTGTTGCCATGAGCATCTGACGCAGCTCTTCGACGCCATCAAACTAAACTAGCGAAGAAGTCCGGGGTCCGCGGAGCGGGATCAGACTCGCGCCGCTCCGCCGGCGCCGAAGAAAAAAAAAAAAGTAACGAGAAAAGACGTCTCCGCATTGTACTTCCGAATGGATGTCGAGGTACTTCCAAGCACATCAAAGAAAGAATAAAAAGAACAAGAAGTCAAAGGATAACACTTATCCCCCTCTTCCCCCCTTTTCGCTTTTCTTTTTTTTTTTTTTTTTTTTTTTTTTTTTTTGGGGTTATATTTTTAATACGGGCAAAGATGATACGAGCCAACTCGAAACTTCTTGCCAAGGATGGTGAAAAGAAAGTTGGTCCCTTGGCGGGTAGAGAGGATCGTTTCGGATTCTGTTGTAAGCTGCAGAACTAAGCCTCCCCTTCGTCTGCAGGACTTTTCCTTCTCAAGATTTTCCTGGTTTAAGGTTGATACGGGATAGATAAAAATAGGAAGTAGGCTGTGCTTGCTTTTCCTTGCTCTTCGGCATGTATCTACAAGTAGGGCTGAATCAAGCGACCAGATACTACCATGCCATGTTGCCCATACAGGAGAGGCTTTTGAGCGGCAGAGATTTGGAGTATGTTGTGATCTTGGTGCCAAAATGGAAAAAAGATTGCATGGCTCAAAGTTTATGTTCACATGGGCCTCTACAGTACTCTTGGATCTTCACTGTTATATTAAATCACACAATTAAGCTTATCCAAACTTGTGGAGTTCAAGAGGGTCTTGCAGTCGTTCTATTTGTTCGGGCTTTTTTGCGTTTAAGCTAGAGAAGCCTATGGTCCCCGAGGTCGAATCACCTCCACCGGGCCCAGCGGCTCGGACATCATGATAGTGGGTTTTAGGAAGATGTCGTAATAGACGTCCGCGATGGGCTTGGGCTTGTGATGTAGCACGCGGCAGCTGGCTAAACGCCCACCGCTTAGCACGGAACACTATGACCCCCGGCTACCTATGGGAAATTTGATACAACACCACCCTGTTTAGAGAAAAGAAAACAAAAAGGACCAGCAGACGCGCAGGTGAGGGACATTTGTCGACGATCTTTACTCTCTTGGACGATGATGCTTTTCGTGGCGGGTTGGACTCGTCACTTACTTTGTGGAGATCGACAGTTCTATGCTCTACTTTGGTCTTTTCTGATTACTCCCTCGCGGCTTGCTCATGCTGGAGCGGGAATGGATATATCGGCATTAATATCACATATCTTATTCCCCGTCTCAGAGTGTTACTCATCTTCCCTTAAAAGACGCTGCAAGACTAGCGCCTACAGGCGCCTCGTATTATGCACATCAGTCTCTTAAAAACGGGCGGTAAAGTGAAAGAGAAGAGGAGGGAAAGATAGAGAGAGAGAGAGAGAGAGAGACAGACAGAGGAGGAGGGGACCGGGGTCTGCCCTGCCACCTTGTTGTTTTCCTCCTTGCTCACCACTATCGTTACGTGAAAATGGGCTGGGGGAACACAACCTAGACATGAGCGAAAGAGGATTATGGGAGGGGAAGATGGGAAGAAGAGGGTGTGGTGCATGGGGAATGAGGCCGAGTACCGACGGCCCGGAACCAAAATGAATCAAATATTGTATTTGGGAGTTGGATGTCTGAACCGGTGCAAACAACCTTGCAGTAGTTAGCTGCATCAATCCCCGTTAAGGCGGTCAAGCATGCCGGTGACAGCTACTAGGATTCCTGGATGCATGCCAGATGGGTGTAGCAAACATCTTCTTCCTTCTGCCGCGGAGGATGGGGGGTTGGGTTGGTGATCTTCAGGATCTAGGGGACCTTTGTTGTCCATCCGCGTTCATTTTGAGTTGGGGGATCTAAAGGGGATGAGATCGTAGGGGCCTTCTCTGCTCTTTTTTTTTTTTTTTTTTTTTTTTTCCGCCCGGATTCAAAGATCTTTTGCTTTTTCTTGTTCTTTTTCTGAGCTCTCTAGACTCGAACTCTCTTCTCGCCCCTGTAGCGAGACGCAGCTCGTAAGTGGGGTCCTATCAGCCCACTAGCGCTGCTGGGTAATGTTGATGAAACAGCGAGCTAAGCTTATAGGGCAGAAAACGAGGACATCTTATCAAGGTACTAGATGTTCGAAAAAATCTCCGGAATGAATAACAAGACGGAATGAATAACAAGACGGAATGAATACAAAGCCTAGAGGGAGCCCGTTTGGCATGTCGCACATACATTAGTCCCACGTCCCACCTCCATTTTCAAAGAGGCCATGCGACAGACTTGGCAGGTCCTCTGGAAAGCAGGTACGGTTCGCGATCTCTCCCTCGACCAACCTGCTAGATACGTCTCGTTACCGGGTTACGATGAGAACGGCAATGAGACTCTGTGAGGATGGGACGAAGGATCACGCTTTGACCGGATAGTGGATATTCTGTGTGCTGCACGCAAGGTTGCTTCGGCAGAAGATATTGGGAAGCAGTCATCACGATGAGGCTGGGGCAGACTGCGGAACCCTCATTTTGTCGTACAGGAACAGATGGAGACTGTGATGCTTCTGTATGGTTGAGGTTAAAAATGGATATATTGGCGGTGGCTCAGCTCTCCGACGAAGCAGGGGAGGTCAAACTGCTCTCCGCATGAGAGCCTCTATTTTCTTGGCAACTATCTGGGGGAGGTTGACCTCGAGGTAAGTTCTCCAGATGGCGTCGAGGGACTCGGCATGAACTCTCACACTATGGCTTCTGCAGCTTAAGCACAGAGCGTCGTGGCCTGACGCAAGGCCAACTGATAGAACAAACCGATCAAACTATGCTGCTATCTTGGGTATACTGCGGCCTCCATTATAGGGCCAGTTGGTGTGAGGAGCGTCAATAGGCTGTAGGTTCTTTCTCGTGGCAATTGCGGCACTCTATTGCACATGGTCCTGGTCGGCAAAGTTCCATATGAGCATGCGGCTTTGCAGTTGGTGGGGACATAGAGAAAGTGTAAACGTATCTTCTGGATAAATCAACACCAGTGCACAAGTACACCAGGCAGATGTTCGAGACGGGTACCCGCATACCACCTATCATCATCTTCCCCCGAAACTGACGTACAGCTGAAGGATTCAATGAACCGAATCTCCGGGTCGGGTCTTGAATAGAATGAACGAGTGCAATAGTGCCCTTCAAGGTCGTGGGCCAAGGACATGTCCAAGAGTGGATACGAGTGCAGGATCCATTGATGCAGAGCCCATGCCGGGGATGAAATATATGGACGAGATGCCAGCCGTAGTACCTGTAGTGCCTGTGTACCTTGGGCCATTGCCTATAGTACCTGTCGTACGTGCCGAGAATTTACGAGGTACGAAGTAGCACTGGGGTTCCTGTAAAAGCAAATGGAAATGGGCTTGATCAATTCCTAACAAGGGTGTACCTAGAAGCTGATATGCACCTCGTACATACTGCCTGCCAGCCAGCAGCCCACACCCAACATTGACATATCTGTTTCTGCTTGCTGCCTTTTGGATACCGCTTAATACAACATTGGACATCAATATTTTCCTATTTGACGGCCAGCCTCTCTGTCACCGCCTCGAGGGGGCACTCCACTGAAAGAGAGTGAGGTAGCCAACCCGCCGACTCCTTCGGTCATTTGTGCAAGCCCAGACCCTAAATGTGACATTGCAGATTTCCGGAAATGTGAAGAGTGACTTACTTTGTAGGTTAGTACATCGCTAGAAGTACTTCTCAATTATCCCTTCGGCGCTCTCCCGACATCATGGGATACTAGGATTGGGACTCGGGCGGCTACCCTAGGACCTAGGACTCGGACTAGGATTACCCTTAGGATTAGGATACGGGTAACTGCCTTGACAGGCGCAGGATCTCGAATCCTAGATCCAGTAGCGCCCCGAAAGGGCGAAGACGCCGCGTTGTTTCAAGGGATTTCGAAGATTTGAGGCTTGGCCTCTAGTCGCAGTACGAAGTAACACGAGTAGATTAAATTAGAAGTGATGATCGATATCACCATTGGCTTTCTTCAGTCGTCAAGCTCTCCCCGAACTTGTACCAAAAGTACGAAAATGCCCAGTTCGAATTTGGATAAGCATTATTGGGTGCTTCGTACTTTGAGAGAGTGATACTGCGTCCGGTGTATTATGGTTGCACCATCGAGTCGCACAAGCAGATCGCGCACGAACACCAATGAATCAAGCAAACATAATCCTTGCTCTGCTTGTACCTACCGCAGTCCATTCTGGAAGTGCTGGTGCCTCGAGAGGTGTGTCTTCTGCCTTCGATTGAAGCAAGATGGGGCAGACTGTCCAATTCTAATGCTCCAAGCGGCCCATATCGCAGCCCAGTCACCAGCATCACATCAATATACAAAGTTGGGGCGGGAGTAAGCATCAGCCAAGGCGATTGATTCATTGGGGTGATGTTGGTTAGCCAGCCAGCCCAAGGCACGAGTCAGCAAGTATTCGCCGCCGACAACACTTGCATCATCCCGGGACATAAGGGCCACCTTGACCCCTCGTTGGATTGCACATTTACCCCAAAAGGGTTCAAGAGCAACAAACAACACTGCCTCAATCTTGATCTACTTTACACCTACTTGGCGGGAAAAGTTGACAAAAATGACGATGGTTGGTTCGAGAGGAGCACCACATTGCATCCACGCAGGTCGCGAGAGAGACCGGGGGGGAAGGGACACGTACGAAATGATAACTTAAAACCGGTCAGCAAGAATTCGGACATGTTTGGTCTCCACTCACCGAGGAACCAATACGTTGGTCCCCCAAAGACGCCAAGGTCCTTTCCATGTTGTCATTCTTTCTTCCCACATTGGTAGGCTCTCGTGCAAACAAACGTTAACACTATCGAGAACAAGGTTTCGGTCGAGACTAGATAACACCACAGTATCAAGTTCCATAAAATGTCAGACCATTTTCCCATTCAATTTGATACTTCGTAGAAGCCATGATGTGCCAAATTTATATTATTTGTATGATGATTTGTTCAATGTTCCTTCCTTTCTGCTACTTCGCCAAATCCAAAAAGCAGGCGCATTCCGGCGTGGGTGCCAATCCACCCCGAAACGAACCAACACGTTTAATGTTCCTTCCGTCATCAGCCCGCTGGAGCAGTCGACGCTTCCCAATCGGGGCGCTGGGGACTAGGCCAATAAGTCCCCTGGTACCTGTGTATTTCGTACCTTCCTCCGCAGATACAGACTCTAATTGTGCCCAAGACCTTCACGTTCCCCGCATTCCCCACTCAAACCATATCTGATTGTGAGAACTAGCTCTCGAGTCTCTCGACCGTGAGGACCGAGTGACACTGAAACGGACGCCACTCAATACTCTTTTCGTCAATCACCAGACGGCAAACTGTGCTTTCACCGTCAGATGTTCGCTGATTACGCATTCCCTGGCTAGAGCCGACCAAAAGGTCCCGTAAATATCCAACTAATATGTTCTGACGACTTCCGCGGCTACCGGCACGGATGTACACTGGCATCGGGACCGAAGCTCGTCTTTGCCTACATTATAATCGGCGCCTCACTTATCCGAGTTGTCCTTTTGTCGTTTTGTCCTTCTTTCTTGTCTGTGAGCGGCGAGACTTCGGTGATCTCTGGGAAAATCGAGGCTTGTTCAGTAAGACGGACTAGAATAGAGGAAGTAAGGAAGGCATTGACGTGCAGCCTCGATATGCATTCTCCGTTCACTCCACAAGATGCTGTGGGCTCTTAGACTCGAAGATATCATCTGCTGGCTGTGCGGAGGCGGGCTCGTTGGCTCCACAACAGCTGTATGCGGCGAAGGCTCTCCCCCGATCACCACTACGATGTAAGTCAATGTTGTTTCAGCCATGTAGAGGATTTTACTTTGTATGTCCTGCATTGAGACCCACTCACACGCATGCTTTCTATCTGTTGCTCAAGTTGCTCTCTCTCTCTCTTCTCTCACGCACGCTCTCGCCTCTCAGGCTGCCAAGCGGCCCGGTCGATCGCTGGCAAGATTCCTGGACTTACACCAACCTGCCCTATACCCCTCTTGCTCGATGGCAAACCCTATTCGCTTTTCTTTGTGGCCTACTTCCGTCTCTTTTTTTCTACTTGGGCGCATCTGCTATCGAACCCAATCACCATGCATACATTGCGCAGGGTTGTCTCGTTTTGTGTGTGTATTCCCCTCTTGTCCTAATGGCCTCGCGGCGTGATATCTCTTACGAACATTTTCTATATACAAGCGCAAAATAGTCACTACCCTATTTCTCGCTCTTTCCTGTTCACCCTTCTATCTGCTACCCTGTAGGGGATAATGTTAGCCTTCAGTATGGGGATCGACCGACCAGGTACCGACATAGTTGCACTCACAACTGGGTTTAAAAGTTTGGTCGAATTAGGAACAGCACCCAGAGCTAACTACGAAGAGGAAGAGGAGGGGTGAGAGAACTGCGGGTGCATCGAGTATGCAAGCACGACGACCCCTGGTCATCCTTCCTGCGCACCACTCACCACTCACCACTTACGTGTGTTGGTGGCAGAAGGCCTTCCGGTTAGCTTGCAACTCTGATGTAGCCGTAGCTTGCCCAAACTCGTCTGTGGGTAATTGATTGCTTCTCTTCCTGGTGCCTTCTGCCGCATTTGAGTTCTGTGGTTTGCATGTATGTTATATATATCACGACATGTTCACCGACGAGGCTTTCGAATGCGTCTAGTCCTGTACTTATTCATGATCTTTATTATCACCTCGCTTTTCCCCCGCCCGCCACCCCATCAAGCAACCTGCCCATTGAGAACTGGAGACGGGGGGGAAGGAGACTTCAAGGTCCAACATCAACTTGTTCCACCTTCGCTGAGCGCGCCGGCCAAGAATCACTCACCTTACATTCCAGCTTTCCGCCCCCACACACCTTCGCCGTCCTCAATACGATCACCTCGAAACTCTCTTTCTCCTATTTTAACCATCACGGACACCCCCTGCGGGCAGATGTCGGCGAGTTCAAGCTTCCTTCGAGGCTTAGTTGTCTTCTAGAACTAGGACTACTTCTGGACGACAGCCATCGCTGCCAAAGGTGTGATATATATAAATATATATATATATATATACATACTCTCTACTCCGCCTTCATCAGTACAGTCTACTCGAACGAGATCACCCCAGTCTTACACCTCTTCTCCACACACATTCTTCGCAACAATGAACCCTCTAACGTTATCTCCCCTCCCCATGCACTCTCTGCTAGAGATGGACAACACCGAGACAGACCTCGAGGAAGGCCTCAGTCTCTCTGTCTCCGGGCCCTCTTCAATGGGAAGCAACTTCTCGACATCTTCATCAATGTACGACTCCTTGAGCCCGCCGTCTGGCCGCTCAACGCCTCAGAGGCCAGTCGAATTCAGCACGGCATACAGCAACACCATGCAATTTGATTTCTCGTCTCCGCCAACAGCCCACGGCACCGCTTATATGGGCCACGCATTCGAGCATCAGATGGGCCGCGCGACCTACATGGAGGGCTCCTCGTCCGAGGGCTACCCGCCAATTCGAGCCAGAAGGAACTTGTCCGAGTCTGACGCCTTTGGCGGATTCGATTACAGCACCTTCCTGGAGTCGCCCATGACTCAGACGTTTCAAGCCCAGGTTTCCCCTTCGTACGGAGGAACACTCGTCGATACTACTGAGTTTCGATCTCACTCGTTCGACACGTCCCAATTGACCAGCTCGACAGTCCGCATGTCGGAAATTGGAGAAATGGCACCCTACCCCATCATCGACAGTTCTCTCATCCGCAGGACACAAGTTCTCTCTCTCGGCCGGTCTGACTCGGAGCTTGGGGCCTCCCAGACCCTAGTATCCCCGGTCGACACCATATCATCTCCCGAGATGGAAAGTGATGACACAATTACTCCTAGGCGCAGGAGGGCCTATGTGGTTAGGCGCGCCGCCCAGCGGTCAGCGGCCCGAAGGGCCAGGCAGGCTTCGGGTAGTGGGAATAATGGAGAGTCTTCGCTTGGGCCCATCGAAATCAGGAGAATCAGTCCTGGCGGCAACAGGTGCGAGTTCCCAGGTTGCCATAAGGCATTCAACCGAAAGGAACACCTCAAGAGGCACGAGTCAACGTAAGTCTTCTGATGCTGCCTTCCCTCCATTTGATTCCAGAATAATTCGTATGCTAATAATTTTCCTCATATATAGGACCCATCAAGGAGTGAGGATTGAATGCCCCTTCTGCAAGGAAAAGAGCGAAAAGCCATTCAACAGACACGACAACTTCAAGCACCACATCGGCATCCACGCCCAGCCGCGGAACCACGGCCGGGTGGAATACGTTCCCGAGGCGGCGGCCTACTACAGAAAGCTCGTCGCCGCAACCAAGCCCCGGAAGCCAAGTAAGAAAGCTCTCAAGGCAAAGCTATGAGAAGACGATCGACAGACTTGATTTCTTCTCATGACACCTAATAATGCCCTTTTTTTCGTTTGCTTAATCTTACGCGACATGATGCGGTATGGCTGGGGGTGGAATGTTGTCCTTTTTGCGGCCCTTTTCTATCTTTTGGTTTTGCCTGCTATGTTCAGATTCATATCTTGATGGATTACGGCCCCCCTCTTAATTTTTATTGCAATGGATTGGAGTTTTAATGTGTGTTATAACATGATCGACAATGTGGTCACTTTTGTTGGACCTGTGGGTGCTGTTTGCTTCACCAACACTCTTCGTTTTTCTATTTGCCGCTGGAGGATTAATTCTTTACGGAATCAAACTGAAAACGAGAAATAAAAATGGAAACAAAAAAGAAAAAGAGAAGAAAAAAATTGAGAAAAGGAACCAAAACTGACAAAAAAAGGGAAAAAAGGGTAGCTGCGAAAAGGCGGCAATAGAAACCCGGAATGTAACTTTTATTTTTCTGGTTTAGCCTACAACTACAACTTAACTTACACCTTAATATCCAAGATGAAAATTATCATCATCGCTGACCGTTGTACACTTATTGCTTGCTTCGAAGACACTTTATCTTGGGAGGACGACAAGTGCACTACCGACAAGGCTGCATGGGCTCCCATGTAAGCGCGATCACAGAGCGGGGGTCATTGGGGTGTCAATGAGGCTCAAAGCTAGGGTTACCTGGTCAACGGCTTGCGGCAGCCAAGGATAAGGGACCTTGTGGGAAGCTTGAGTTGGTGGCAGGTGTCTATCAATCCTACGCAGTACTACTGGAAAAGGAAAATGATGGGTCGGGTGGTAAGCTTGTGCAAGTTTGACAGGTCTCTCTGGGGAGGTGGGGAGCGGGGGGAGAGGTTGGGGGGACACAGCCAAGGACAGAGAGGAAAACGGTGAGCGAGGACCAGGGTTGACAGGCAACGAAAGTGGGAAAGAAGCGGCGGGGAGGGTTGTGAGGCGAGGACTGGGTTTCTTCGGATGAGGTATCGATGTTGGTTCTTCATTTGGGGGGGTGGTGTGAGATAACCAGTTGATAGGCAATAAATTCCTTCTTGTGCACCGGCCCGAAGATCGACGAAGAGCCGAACCAGAAAAAAAGAGGCGAAGGAGCAGCAAGAACGGGCCATGAGCAGATTCGCAGACTCTCTTTCGAAGATTTCGTCCATAATTGGTTGTTATGGCCCATGTCGCGGACTCGGCTCTCTGAGAGCAAGCTCTTGCGGGCGTTACATTCCTCCGCGACGAATCAGCGCGGACCCGACAGTATGGAATCCTACCACACCAAGCTGCAGATTAGACTTTTGTTAGCTCTTTTCGTATTGAGGTTTGCAAGGCGAGAGGAATGTCCTGGACAAGGGGGTCGTCTAGCTGGTTGGAAGACGTGACGGAGGAGGAGGGGGGATGCTGGCATGTTGTGATTGGACGTGGCCGAGGAGGGAAAACGCCATAAGCCAGACCAACATACACAGCGCACACAGCCTACGGCTTGCAGGGGTGGCTTGGAGGGTCGCCTGTGCTTTCTAGTAGCTGCATTTTATTGGAAGATGGGAGGGTTGGAATGATTTTTGTGGTATTTATTGGATGGTGATCGTCTAAGAAGTAAAGCGCGGATATGATACAACCCGGCAAAGCGATATTGCAACGTCCCTCATGTCACTGGGAATGATATGTGACCACGGCAATAATTTCACAGTTATCCTCGTCCCCGTGACTGTTGAAGCGGCGTGTCCGCGGCCCGGGCGGTTATGCGGACGTGCTTTTCCGCCATCGAATCTTACGAGTTATTAGTGATGGGGGAAGAAAGGAACGGCGAAGAGGGAATACCGCTCTTGTCGACATGAGGATGATGTGACGGCGAATTCTTGTTCTTCTTCTTCTCTCTCTCTCTCTTTTTTTACCCTACTTTTTGTACTAGTAGTTTCTCTTCTGAATCTGCGTTGGCATGCGGGTACACAAAGAAGGTGTGTTTGTGTGGCTGTGGAGCGATCAGCGTACAATAAAGAGGAAGGACAACATTGAAGTCGTGGAACGTAATAGATGTAAGTCCTTTTGGAATGGCTAAAAATGGATGCTGTCCCCGACTCAAATTCATGATAAGTAGAATTGTGCAACAGTGCAGCTCGTAAAGGTCTCGAGGGAAAAAAAAAAAAGAGGAGAAAAGGGAAAGAAGAAAAAAAAAAAAAAGTAAGAAAATAAAACAAGAAAATAAAGAATCCACGGCGCAATAGTATAATGTGGTTAGGCTGGGAAATATTGGTGAGCGTTCAAGGATTGCCGGTCGGGGAAAGGACAAACTAGAAGGTACAAACAGGCACAAGGCCGAGGTGGATGGTGGACAATGTGGACGGTGTGAAGGTGTAGAGGTGTGAAAGGTGTGAAGGCGCAAGCAGATGTTTGCTTAGGTGGAGGTTGTGGAGGTTGATACGGCATTGTGTGGAAGGCGGAAGGGGGACCAGGGGCCAATGTGAAGGATACAGGACTTACAGTGCTTGTTCACCGACCGCGACGCCGTCAGGCAGCTTCGAGTGTTTTGAGTATGGGCAATGTGGTGGTATTGGCAGTGGTGGTCTTGAGTGGGCCTCGCCTGGACCCCGGTCGGTCGGACTCTGAGTGCCGAGCGCGGGGGGCTCGGGTCCGTGAGAATCTAACTGACAGGGACCCTGACGGTTACAACCAGGCTGAACTTAAACTGCCCGCTGGGACGAGCGACATGAGCGGGAAGAAAAAATAATGGCAAATAACGACAATAAGAATAAAATAAATAAGAAATAATAAAATAATAAAATGAAGAAGAAACAGACACGAAAATTGATTCTCTGCGTGGGTTTAGAGCATAGAGAGGGCTGCTGAATTTCCGCTCTCTGTCTTAGATCCAGGCGCTCAAGTTGACAATGGATGCCAAGACCTGGTAGGACTTGATGTGTAAGCGCACCTGACGCCATCTGCTGTCCTAAAGTACAACTGTACAAGGACTTCCCCAATTTCGCCCACAGCCTCGCCAGGCAAGATGACGCTCTCGTGACTGCGCAACCCAACTCCATCGAGGCCGACGGAATATAATCCAAGGCCATTTCGAATCTAGAAGGGCTTGCAGTTGAACAGCTATCCGTCGTCCATCTCTATCTCGGGGCCATTCTGGGATCAAAAGCCATCCCCCATGGTGCATTAGTTGTTGCATAATGCACATGACAAACAATGTATTATGCTGCTTCTGCCACACTTTGGATAACGATCTAGCGTTCTCTTCCTCCCTTCAGCCACGAGTCTAGGCTACGTCGAGCACGGCATTGCTGTGACGACAGCTCTCTTTTTTTGACCCTTTCCCCTCTCCGTTCCTTCTCTGTCGCTTTGCCGTGCCTCACAAAGACGACACACCAGAACCACGTTGTTCTAGTGTTGGTTGGAAGCAAACATCTCGGCGCAGTAGGACCTTACCAAATCAGGACTCCCCCTCCACACCCAAGAGGTATTGGGGTGTAACGCGGTGAATGTCCTATTTTCGGCCAGCCATGGCAGAGGCCGCCTCAGATGCTGGCCTAGGTCCGCCTTCCTACGAGCAGGCCATAACTACTGGCGGCCAGGGTTGGTGGTTAGAGCTGGTAGCGCCTTATGTCTCGGTGGGTGACTATCCGAGCCTGTGCCTGGTTAGCCGTCGTTTCTACGACGTCTTCTGTCCTAGGCTGTGGAAAGATCCTCTGGTTACGGTGAGGATTTTGGGGCTAGACCCAGGTAATGGTTCGTACTACGATACCTCTTTCCCATACACTTCATGCTATTATTCTGTTCATCCCTGCCAAGATAACCCCATTCATTCAACTTGTTCTTTATTGCACAAAATTACATTCCGCAGATGATTGAGATGTGCCGAGTACAACGGCTGCTGATATGTGACATGTGCCCCAGATTTCGCCTGGTATATCTCGTTTATGTTTACACGGGCCCCTAGAGCGAGACTATCTACTCGTCGATACGTTCTATCCCTTGACTTTAGTCATTTTGCAAAGGCCGCTTACCATTTTCGTTCCAAAAACCCCATCTCAGCAAGCCTCAGCACGCTTCCCAGTCTATTTCCAAACCTAGCATGCATCATCTTCGATGGCAACACGGAGATAGACACGACACGTGTCTTCAAAGGTGGCTTATATCCTGCGAGCAACCAGGGGCCCGTATTACTTAGCCTTACTAGATGTGAATCCTATCTGGAATCGAAAGCTTTCGAGACCCAGTGGCCACTTCCAGTCAGGTATCTCGATGTTTCTGGACTTCCGGGATCAGTGCGTCCCCTCGTCAAGGCAGCTGACCGCTTTCCTCGCCTCCGCGTCCTGAAAGCAAGGAGACGGGAGTTGGTGGCTGCAGATGCCTCTAACCTCGTAAAGGCATTTGCAGGAAGACTTTGGAGTCTCGATTTGAGCGATAACCCTCTTTCGGATGCCGTCCTACTAGCTCTGAATCAGTTCATGACCGCGAGCAGCTCTTCCCTGCGGACGGATGGCCATTTCGCGGCAGAGGGAATGCTTGACTGGCCACGTTGCGAGGGCAGCGATGCGTATGGACCATTTTACCATATCAAGGAATCTGGCTTTAGCGATACCTTTTCCCACGCCAACCGGTACCTGGCTGACCCTCCGACCTACCCTCCTGGCGAGTTTCACGACGGAAATCATCGGCCCAGTCCCGTTCGAGCCAACGGCCGCACCCCGATTAAGAATGATTCAATAGAGTTCCTGAAACAAGCTCTACTTGGAGATGATGCGCCCGTCGATGCTGCCTGTGCGACCCTCTCCGCTGCCCGCATGAGTCCTGTTGTGCTCAGCCACCTCCACCTCTCTAATACGAAGGTCACAGCTCTGGGCGTGGAAAGGCTTGTGCGGGAGTCATCTGGGCAGCTAGAGTCTCTCGACTGCGAATCCGCTCGACTCAACATCAATATTCCACGGCACAGCCCATGGCCGAAGTCTACCAGGCTGTACGGCCTACTGGGGTCACCACACATCTGGCGGCCGGTCCTATCTTCGAACCTGCGCGAGCTCAGAGTGCACCATTCGGTAGTAACACAGATCCCTACCATGGAGGCTGAGGGGATGTCCTCCCTGCGTCGCCTCTGGCTCGCTGAAACGAGCATCCGGCGGAGATGCGAGATGGCGTATCCGTTAGCTTTCGTTCCTGATACCAACCCTCGCGTCACATCCCTTACCTTGACCAGAATTCCTCGCCGCTCGTCGGGCCCGCTGATTGGGAAGATTATCGGTTTTCTGAAGGCGGCGTCGATTCAAGAGCGCGCGATCGCGGATGCTACCATATCTTCATCGCGAAGGGCTCCGATGATGCTGAGGGGATTGCGGAATGTTCGCCTCGAGTTTGAAGCGGACCCTATGGATGACCCTGGTCGGTTCGCTACGTCGGCGGACTTGGATGAGGATGGAATTCTGGATTTGAGTCTTGACGCCGTCACATTCTCCACAACAACTTCGGCGTCTCGCAGCAACGGACACCCTGGCTCGGATAGAGCCGAGCAGAGCCCCTGGTTGTCGACGCATCCTGGCGCGGCGATAGCAGACTTCACCCGCTCCAGGGAAGAGTATGTTTCGCATACGCTCCAGTGGAGAGGTACCACCTTCGAAGCTAGGGTCTGGGTAGGAAGCGGCATGCCGAGCTCCAACCCCGCGACGAACGCCTACCAGCAACTGGTCCGCAGCGGGTATCGCCAGGTCGTCGGTGCCGCATCCCCTGCTCACGTAAAGGCAGGGGTGCCCGCCGGATCACTGATATACCTCGATGCGTGGGACGCTATGATTCTTCCCGAAAGAGTCGAGGGCGCGCGTCAGGAGGTTTTGGCGGGGATGAAGGATGTTCTTACGGAGCTGAAGAGATATCGTGTTAGTACGAGGGAGGCGTACGAGAGGGAGAAGAGGAAATGTGCGGGGCTGTCGGGACAGGTTGGGCTTGGGGCGCCGCATTATTTCTTTACGGGGAAGGTTGAGGTTATTGTGAAGGATAGTTCTACGCACTATCATGCTTCGGAGTATTGGAGATGACTGCCACGAGTGTGATAGGGACAAAGGTTTTGGCTCTGGGTTATAGGTGCTTCCTGTTTATATCTTACATACCGCACGGCGTTGGCAAATGAGTTTCCTTGGCTTGTATGTGGGAGGACACCGGCTTGGATATATATATAATGATTATCAAATGACCAAATACGCATTCAAATGACATACTTTTTTTCTTTTTCTCGATTTCCCTCGTCGTGGGGGTAACGGACAAGATCAGGATCCCCCGCTGGCTGCATATGGTCTCTCTCAACGGCGCAACGTTGACATTCGCGCTATCATTCGACATTCCGAAGCAGCTCTTGCAAAACCTACCGCCGAAGCCTGGCAATCAGCCCTATTTTATTACGAAGTCACGCGCCTTCTTCACTCCTTCTCGCCCGCTGAGATGCGAGCCATGATATGGGCCCAAAGCATGTAGGTTCCCAAGAGTCCTCCCCGTCTTCACAGAAGCTCTCCCGACGTCGTGCGAGGATTGCATGAATGTCGGAGCTAGTATCCAAGGGAAGACATTGATGCAAATGGATACACGTCCATGATACGGCTACAAACTTTGGGGAGGAAGCGCATTCTTGCCGTCCCCTGGAGGTTCAGTCGCTCTAGGAAGAAGAAGTCTGTCCCCGACAGTGCGCGATAAGAACAACAACAATCGCGTCATGTGTTCTACCCCAGTCACGGGCTCTGAGGGTAGCAAGTCGAGTCTCAGGGAGGTTTATACATTTCTCTGGGAATCTCTGCACTCTTCTACGAAAGTAACGCCCAATGCGCTTGTCGTCGTGATCCTCGTCGATGGAGAGCCTCTGGCGAGCCCACGGCGTGGCAAGAAAAAAAAAAAAAAAAAAAAAAAAAAAAAAAAAAAGCAGTCTGTATCGATTACGACGCGGAGGCCATTCATGTTTTCTCGCGGGTCTGAGTAGAGGGGACGACGGTGGCTAGACTTAAAGCGGCGCTGTGCTAGGCCACGGCGGGTTGCAGATTTCAAGTGTGGACGCGAGCTTTTGGTGCTCCGGAGTTGGAGTATTTTATTAGGAGAGGGTTCGCTCAAGTCCGGGGAGGAGGGACTGGGCGAACTTGGGCATTTTATACTGACGGGTAAGAAGAGCCCGAGGATGGATTGGTCCCAGTTGGTTATGGGAATTATCATGGGCATCTCAGCAATTGCCCTCTACATGGCGTGGCATTTTGATCCTTTTTCCCCCCTTTTGGTCCAGGATTAGTGTTTTAGCATTTTCTCTTCCCTTCGGACTTTATAATCTCAAGACTAGAACTCAATCCTCGGGGGATTAAGTCTTAAGTCCTGCTTGCACTGAAGCGGCGATGTTCTCTTCTCGGACTTGCAATTCGAGGCGACCTTTCCGCGAGTTACGACGTCGTATTAAGGCAGTGTGGCTTACATAAGGCACATTCCAACACCCAACATTTCGAGCTCCGATCCCGCGCCATCCTCAACTCTTGGTGCCAATGCAATTAGATCGTGAAAAGAGAAAAGGTATCCGTGACGCCTGCTCCCCAATTTCTCTCGGGACCCAGTTGAATCAGAGATATTCAGATCCTGCATATTTCTCCCTTAACTAGAGTCCCAAACCGCGAGAAGCTGACTCCGGGCGTTCCCTCCCTACCTAGAAGTTGGACTCAACCCTTGAGCGACGATGGCTTCAACCAACGCCGACGCGGCCATGCGAACCCGCATAATCACCCACATGAACAAAGACCACCATCGCTCCCTCTCCCTGTACCTCCGTCACTTCAACAAGCTCCCCGCTCGCCGCGTATCCTCTCCACCCACCATGAAAGACATCACAGTCTCCGCCATGACCATCCAGACCGCCGACGGTGCAACTCACACCATCCCCTTCGACCCGCCCATGTCCTCCCTCTCCGAAGCCCGCAACCGCGTCGTCGAAATGGACAAGCTCGCCCGCGCGTCTCTCGGCCTCGCCGATGTGGACATCACAACATATACGCGACCTCGGGGATTCGACTCCTTCGTCTTCGGAGCCGTGGTGTTTTACTTCCTCTGCTTCTTTACGCTACCGTGGGCCGTGCAGGGCAATCCGATCTGGGAGTTTTGGAACGTGGTTTTCCCCGGCGGCGCGGAGACGTACCGGTGGGTCGTGAGGACGATTTTCATACCTGTTTTGGGGATACATCTTTTTGAGATGGCGCTTTTGGAGAGGACGAGGTTGAGGAAGTATGGGGTTGAGAGGGGGACGGGGGTCTGGTGGTTGTGGATGGGGAGTTGCTTTTTTGAGGGGTATCCTGCTTTTAAGAGGTTTGATGGGTTGGTGAGGAAGAAGAGGGAGGTGAAGGAGGGAAAAGGGCGGTAGGCCGTAGGTTCGTCATATTGTATTGAGTTGGTATTCAAGCTGTTTTGACATCTTGGGGGTTAGGGAGGGTTAAAGTTGTTGATATCAGTAGTGAATTGAAGAGTTAGTGGAGCTCTTGTTCAACTCTCTTGGCTCTGGGCCAGGTATAGCATCTTCAATTGATACAATTCTTGGGATTATAGACTACAATGCTCACCTCAAGTTCTTGATGAAGCGAAGTGGACCTCATTCGTGGAAGCTTCAAAGTACTTTGTTTAAGTACTTTGGTACCTCTGTACTTTGCGTCTGTTTGTGGCTTATGGTCTCGAAGTATGTGGCTGGTGAAGCCAAGCCCCAGATGACAATAAGACACGTGACGTCTCTTCCCGAAGTTTGGCAAGTTTCGTTCCCACAATTTTGGCAGCACCGCAAAAAACCCTACGCCAATTGGTACGTACCGCCGCCTACCCACAACCCATAATCTTTTCTGTCAAGCAGAAGGCTTTGAATTTTCCCCCCTTCGAAATATCCCCCTCTCATTCCTCTCACATAACAACCACCGACAAATCTCGATTGCCCTTTTCCGGTGACCGCATCCATCAGGTTCGTATGGCCCAGTTTGGAATTGGTCTATCAATGCTTTATTGCAATTAATTCCCCCTTTTACGAGAAAGCGAGTGTCTGGCACTTTCTTGCTGGTTGCTCGCCGCTCAACCTCCCAATCCTGATATCCCCAAGAGCGAAACAGGCTTTGGCTAACTCTTTTGCAATCATCTTCGATCTACAGACACCGCAACCATGGGTATTTCTCGTGACTCCCGCCACAAGCGCTCCGCCTCCGGCGCCAAGCGAGCCTTCTACCGTTCGTGAATACCCAAAATCCCCCATACCATATACCATACCCAAAACACCGAAAGCCCGTATGGCTTTCTTCCTCCGCGAAGAAGCAATACGTTCTGACCTCTGTCAACAGGGAAGAAGCGCGCTTTCGAGGCCGGCCGCCAGGCTGCCAACACCCGTATCGGCCCCAAGCGAATCCGAACCATCCGCACCCGCGGCGGCAACCACAAGTACCGAGCCCTCCGCCTCGACACGGGCAACTTCGCCTGGGGCTCCGAGGGCTGCACGCGCAAGACCCGCATCATCGTCGTCGCCTACCACCCTTCCAACAACGAGCTCGTCCGCACCAACACCCTGACCAAGGCCGCCGTCGTCCAGATCGACGCCGCCCCCTTCAGGCAGTGGTACGAGGCCCACTACGGCCAGTCCCTCGGCAGGAGGCGACAGAGGGCCCAGGCCGCCAAGGAGGGCAAGGAGGCCGGCGAGGAGGTCAAGAAGAGCAAGTCTGTCGAGAAGAAGCAGGCTGCTCGCTTCGCTGCCGGCGGAAAGGTCGACCCCGCTCTTGAGAAGCAGTTCGAGGCTGGTCGTCTTTATGCTGTCATTTCTAGCCGTCCTGGTCAGTCTGGCCGCTGCGACGGTTACATCCTTGAGGGTGAGGAGCTCGCTTTCTACCAGCGCAAGCTCCACAAGTAAATTAGGGAAAAAGAATTGTTGGGGGGTTGTTTGTTGTGTGTGTGGCATAGTTGAAATGAGAAGATGATTTTCAAAAAAGAGGCACATGGCACGTTTTCTCCCTTTCTCTTGAGTCGAAAGACACTTGTAAGGAAGGAAGAAGATTACAAAAAGGGATCACTCGGGTTTTTTCTGGCGGTGTTTTAAACGGCATTTTCTTGTCTCGGCATTTAACAAAGGAGCAAGGGCGTGGAAATACAAAAATACCAATTCAAGTCAAGAAAACAAGCTTCCTCTGCCAAAACGTGTACTTTCTTCTCGACCTAGGCTAGTGATGATGAACAAACGAATTCTTAACTTTGCTGTCTTCTTAATCGTTATCATACAAGTTGGAGGTGATATTGTGGATTCGTGGGCGTAACTTGACATTTTTCGGTCGTCACTTTCGTCACATCGCTCACATTGGCAGAGAAAGCGGGGAAGAAAAACACAATTATCAAGATCCGTCTATTCTTTGATTCTGTATCGGCCTGTGAAGCTCGAACAACGAGAACCCCATTAATCTACAAACAAGATAGGAGAAGTAGACGAAAAAGGACCAATTTAGAACTCGAAGGAGAAAAAAAGTGTAAACGAGCATACAAAACAAAGCGAGTCCGCCCATAGTCGACTTTCCCTTCCCTCATCGTGCCTCATAACCACCTCCTAAACTTCCCCGTTCCTTTTTTTATAATTCTTTTTCCTTTTCGTTTTTGATGAAAGCTGTGTGGCTGCAGGTATCATGGCAGCGTGTAGTAGCTTCCACTTGGCTGGCGGGTGGTATGTATACTTCCCGAAGGCGGCCTGCACTCCGCTCCGAGAAGGAGGAAAATCGCATTGGTGTGGGTAGGTAGTGTAGTAGAGAGAGTGCCAGTGTTGCTTGTCGTGGAGGCTATTTTGGAGAGGCTGGGGGTTTGAAGGGTATTGTAGAGGTGGCTTGTTGATGTGTTTGGTGTGTCGAGGGCGAGAGTTGCTTTGTTCGGAGCGAGACAAATTTCTCTGAGGACCGGTGCAGCAAGGCAAAGGGACTCGCCTTGCTGGGACGTAGTTGTCGACGTCCCCAAAGAGCTTGCCACCGCGCTTCATCTCATGCAGTAATACATGGTGTTGAAAAAGAAAAAAAGAAACACAAAAATCAAACAGAAACAGAGTCCAGTAACCCCAGTGCCAGTCCTTGCCCACCCCTGCGATGCGTAGCCACCAAAAATATCTCACCCTCATTCCCCCAGTGTGCTGCTTCTAGATCGCAACACCTCCGCCATTCTTCGTCCTCCTCTTTTCTCTAACAGTGAGCCAACCCATCTCTTTCTCTTCTTCTCTCTCACCAAGTTTTGTGCGCCGTATATGAAGGCAGGAATGTACTAATGTATCCGAATGTTGTTGTGGGGTATTACGCGAATCCGAAGTAGTCGCTTCCGGCAGTGATGGCCTTCAGCAATTGCTTTCGGAGCATGTCATAGCTCTCGTACTCGGGGAGGTCAAGTTCTAGAAAAAATCAGTTAGCCAGCTGTTAACAGGCAACAAAAGAATAGCAAGTATCCGGAGACGAGGAACAAAACTTACGATTGAAGCATGTGTGAGAGCTAGGCAGGCGTGTCTTGTTGCCGTAATCCCGATGGATATTGAATCGGTTGATTCCATTCATGCCTTCAAGCTCCTTGAATCCGTTGAGCGGCACCTTACTGGTTCCGGTGACGAACTGCAGCAGTTTCGCGCGCTCCTCCTTATCGAAGGATCGGACTGCTCGCCAGAACCACTGGATCTGCGGAGAGGACGCTGTGTAGTTGTGGTACTCGGTGTTGCTCTTCCAATCGTCGACGTCGATGTCTGGAAGACCCGAGATGAGAAGTTCGAGCTCCTGCTCGTTGAAGATCGAGATCAAGTCTGCCGGAATGATGTCGTGGAAGCCCTTCAAGAAGTGTTCCATCTGCTCCTTAACCGAGTTCAAAAGCTTGTGCTCGACGACGAGGCGCACGTATTCGTGCTTGTTCTCCTCCGTGACGGGGATGTTGCGGCCATTGGGGATTAGATCCACGGTATTAGTACGACCGAACTCGTCGTCCTCGAGTGAGAATGTTTCGGTGATAATCTCGGTGATGTCATTGTCAAGCATCCACACGAGCGACTTGTAGTAATCAGGATCGAACGACTCCATGTCCTTGACCGATACCGACTTGCCCAAGATGCGCTTGTAGACAGCGCGGCTGAAGTAACAGTCGAGCAGACGGCCTTCGTAGAGGGCCTTGCCGATGATGCGGCCAATGAACTTGAAGAATCGGAGATGTTCGTCATTGATGCCGCTCAGCTTGTTGGGGTGGAACGTTGTGCGGTCGGACGACACGGGGATGAAGAGCGCGTAGTTGGGATCGAACATCTGGCGAGAAAGCACCTGGAACCACTCTCGAGTGACGCCACCAGCATCGACACCTTCCTCGCCGTGGAAGCGAATGTTGAGCTTGCCGTACTTCATTTCATCGCCGCTCTTGAAGTAGAGTGACTTGAACGAGTCGTGGAACACGTGTTCACGACGGACAGAGAGCTGCAATGGCTGGTATGACGTGCGGCCGTGAGCGTTGGTTCGAGCATGGATGCTCCGGCTGAAGTAGTTGCGCTTGTTGTCGAACTCGAGGACCTTGGGGTTCTTGACGAGTAGCTTGAAAGGTCCTTGCATGAGCTTGGGGTTATTGCGGACAAGCTCGTTGAGGATTCGACGATGCTCCTCGGTAAAGGTGAAGAAAAGGCCAGCCATAGGCGACTCGGGAGGTGGACTAGAAAGCACCATGTCCTTTCCAACTTGCGACTGGGTGGACGGTTGTAGGGGAGCGTTGGTCGCGGTGTTCTTGCACACAGCCATCAAAGACTCGATAAGGGGCAGGAGAATCGTTGCGACGTTAAGCATATTCTCACGCTGCCGAATAGCGACGAGGCATGCACTCAGTTTCTCCCACATCGTGGAGAAGGTCGGGTGGTGGTAGAGCGTGGAGATGAGATCTTGCTTCTCGGTCTCCCGGCTGGTTGCGCCGCTTTGGTCCTCACCCTCGACCTTCTTGGTCTCGAACAGATGGTCAAGAGCAGTAAGCACGCGCAGCAACTTGTTTTGCTCCGACGCTCCAGGAGAGAATTTGGCAAGTGCCACTCCCTGGATCTCCGTGCCGGAAGTTGCCTTGGTGATCTGGGGGAGAAGCTCATCCAGATCCGCCACGATGTTCTTGCTCAGGGCTTGTGCCTGTTTGACCAACTCCTGTCCGAAGACTGCCTTGGCCCCTGGGATAGCGGAGAGGTTCTTGATAGCAGCAATGGTATTCTGGAATGTCTTGGAGCTGCACTCTCGCGCCACAAAGATCTTGATGACCAATGTGAGGTTATAGTTGGGGATGACGGGGATCTGCATCGTTCGCGGCTTGGGCTTGCTTGGCTCCTCCTTCTTCTTTTCCTGCAGAGTCGAGCTCCCGGCTTCGGTTGGCTTCGAGTCGCTGGCTCCGCCAGGTTGGCCCTCGCCCGCCGCGGCGGCGGAACCAGTTGCCTCCTCGGTCTTCTTCTTATCCTCCTCCGCCTTGGCCTCAGCCACCTTCTCTGCCTCCTCTGCTTCTTTGCGTCTACGCTCTAGGTTCTGAAGTGGGAGCGTAAGACGGTTGAGAAGGTCGGCCAGTAAGCTCATGATGTTGGAGCTTTCCATAACAATCTCTCGGTCGAGGAGGCTAAGGAGAGAGTTGATCGCGTACTTTTGAGCTTTGCTCTCCTTTGCCTTTGACTTGCGGCTGAGAGTTCGCTTAACAGAGGAGCCCACGATATCATGCTCAGTCAGGAACAACCAAGGAATATGGAGGTTTTTGCTTGACAAATCGACCAAGAGGTCGAGGCATTGCTGGACAATGAGAAGTGGAGAGATCTCCGAGTGCGTCTGCGTCTGAGCTGCGGCTACGGCTGCCGAAGGTGTAACGGCCGTCAGGCTTCTCTTAAGGCTCTGTGGGGTTCTTAGATCGTTACCCTCCTTATCCCGCGGCTTCTTGGCTTTCAGCGAGAGCTGGCCAAAGCTTCGTTCGATTGCATCCATGTCCGTGCTGCCGTCCTGGAGGATTTGAAGAAGGGTGCTGATGACCTCGAGGCGGTTTTGTCTATTCTCGCAGATATCGGCAAAGATGCTGAAAAGATAAGCTCGGGTGTGGCCTTGCTGAACGATGAACATGAGGCGAAGGAGCGTAGCCACGCCGGACTTGTCAAGCATCTGAACAACCGTCCTCCTAGCAACCTTGTCACCTTGTTCGCCACCTGCGATACCTGCGGGCGCGCCGGGAATCGGAGGGCGTGAACGGCCTGCAGTCATGATGTTGGAACCCCGTACGATGCCGTGACGAGGAGAATTGGCACGCTCGGCAAGGGCACGTGCTTGGGCAGCCATCTCCGGTGGTAGTTGATCCAGAATTTCGTCACCCTGCTCTAGCAAGACTTCATCGCGAAGTTCGGGGGGCAGTGTCAGTAAAATACTGGCCGCATCCATGTCGGCGGCGACTTGTACAATGCCGGCGGACTGATTCTGTCGGCGCTGCTCCTCATCGTTTCGACGCCTCTGCTCTTGGCGTTCCTGCTGGATGATCTCGATTCGGAGTTCAGCAGGTAAGGCATCAAGGAACTCCTGAAACACCTCGGTCTGCTCGCCAGTGGCAGAACTCTCTTCACGGGCCCGCGACCGACGGCTGCTAACGGTCTGTGCAATGACCTCCTCGCGGAACTCCTCGGGCAACGCAGCGAGATAATCGGGGTCGATTCCAAGCTCGGTAACATCGACCTCTTCACCCCGGATTGTGGTGACAACACGATTCTGAGACTGAGCCGGCTCGTTCGTCCTGGAGGTCTCGGCAGCGGCGCCACCAGTCTCAACTCCCTCCATAGGTTGGGGAGCGGCGCTCTGTTCAGGTTCGTTGGCGCCGGTCCGGTCTGTGCTACGGGTAGACGGCGAAGCAGACCGCGACGAAGGGGCGGAGGCCCGAGCTTCTTGTCTCTGCGATTCGGCTGCAGCACTAGCAGCAGCAGCTTCGGCGGCTTCGGCGGCTCTTCTCGCCTCCTCAGCCTTCGCCTCCTCGGCCTTACGAGCCTCTTCAGCCTTGCGGGCCTCCTCCGCCCTCTTTAGTCGCTCCTCCTCCTCGCGCTTGAGGCGCTCTTCTCTCCGCTTCGCCTTCTCGGCATCGTCCTTCTTCTTTTGTTCGATGGCAGCGGGAGCCAGTAGGTGCAGGATCCGTGGGGCGAAAAGCTGCGGCATCCTGTCGGAGATTCGTGAGCCATGTAGTGGGCCAAGAAGCATTGTGCCCTCCTCGTCATATCGCTCTCGAGTGAGCATGGGAGAAAATGAAACGGCCTGCTGGGGATCCGTGGTTGTCGAGTCGCGGTGGCCGGATCCTCGGTGATCGCGGGAGGAGATGTTGAATTCATGTCGGTCTCTACGTCCATCGGTGAAGATTGGAAGGGGTCCAGTACGATCACGGCCGCCCGCCCAAGAAACATGGGAGACCTGAGGAATGGCGGCTATAAGGTCATGGAGAACGGCAATCGGGCCACCATCGCTGAACCCACGTCCAGGCGCGAAAAAGTCAGATCGGAATCGAAGAGCAACCGAGCCCGGATGAGTACCAGGATGAGGAGAAGCCTCGCGGCCAGCATTGGGGCGACGAAGGAGAGGGTTCGTGCCATCGTCCCCGTTGCCACTAGAGTTCCCGGCTCTGGCATTGCTTCGGTGAAGGTAGCTATATTCACCAAGATCACGGCCTGGTCCAAGTGTCCACGTAGCATCGAAAATGTTCCCTCGGTTTCGATGGCGACCGCCCTGACCATGGCCAGGGAAGTCGGGAGGGTGAACCATGAAGGTGTCCCAGCCCAAGGCGGGTGGCATCATCGCAGGAACTAGTTGAGGATACTCAACATCGTGGAAGTATTCGTCGTCCTCAACATCTTCGTCGTCTTCGTCGTCTTCATCGTCTCGACCATCGTCGATGTACCCGTCCCCAACATCATCCATATCATCAGGGTCGAAATCAGGCCCGCCCATAACGGCCCGGGTAATGGTTCCGAGAATTTCTCCATCGGTGAGATGATGGTGATGATGGTGGTGGTGGTGATGGAGGTCGTCTTCATCAAGCTCAGGCTCTTCAACGTCGTAGTCGAGGGCGTCATCGTCCTCCTCTTCGGAGTCAGATGCGCTCTCCCATTCGGGGTTACCGTCATCATCCATCAAATCATCTTCTTCAACAGCGATGTGGACCCGGTCTTCCTCCTCTTCCATGTCATCGGAGTCCATCTCCTCATCGTCGTCATCGCTGTCTTCGTCATCAATGTCGTCATCATCCATGTCATCGTCATCGTCTTCATCGACAATAACTTCAAGGATGGGGTCACCATGGAGGCCCTCAATCGGTCCCATATCACCGAGTTCTTCATCTTCGTCGCTGACATTATCCTCATCATGGCTATCCATCCCATCGTCTTCATAATCCATCTCGTCGCCGTAATCGTCTTCGTCATCATACCCATCGTCGTCTTCATCTGTCCCCAAGTTAGTACTGATTTTTGAGAATACTCTCTGTAGTTAGTCAATTATAGAAAAGAGGGAATAGAATCTTACCCTCGTCTTCATCAGAATCATCGTCTGAGTCATGAGGCTCCAACATGCCGAGGGCAGAGTGACGGTAAAGGTCGGGAGTCTCCTCACGCTCGTCCTCGAGGTCGGAAAGTGAAGAAGCCGACGCAATCTCGTCATCAATATGCTCTGGGTGTGAGGGCACTTGAATTACATTGGAAAGACTGAGCTCCTTGGCAGTGTCGGTGAGGACCTTTAGAACTCGGAGGATGTACTTGATGACCCTCCTTACGCCGGGGTACTTTAAGTCGATTTCCGCAATCGACGACGTCAGCTTGTCCAAGTAGCCCTTTTCGTACATCATGCGGCGCAGTTGGGTGTAAGCATGTGGGCCAAGCAGTGATGGTGGACGTGGCGGTCCGTGGTCCTTGTCCCTGTCACCAATAATCTGGCACATCAATTCAGCAAGGGATTGCATACGAGCGTACCGTAGGTCGAGCGACTCATCGGGTGTTGAAGCCCTTTCGTAGGCCTTGAGAATCGTGTCGAGTACGAACTTGCGCACGGAGATGAGGTCCGGGTCGTCGTCATATTCGAATCGATCCTTGTTTCGCTCATGGGGCTTCTCGCCAGTCTGGTTCACGAGCGCGACTAAGACGCTCTGCGCGCGGGCGGCGGTTGCAAGCTTCTTCTTAGCTGCGAGGCTGTCGGTAGCTGCACTTAGACTGTCCTGACAGAGAAGATCGATGAGATAAATGAGGATACTCGATCGCGGTCTAACGGGAGTATTTCCCAACAACGGTGCGCTCCTCCTGAAGTTGAGGAACTCAATCTTGGTGCGGTTATAGCTCATCAACAGCTCAGCGAGAGAATTAAGCAGGAAGCAGCGGTAAACAAAGATAGGATGCTCCTCGGACTTGAATGTTGGCTTCTGCAACTTCTTATCCTTGCCCTCGGTCACGGAGCCGTCATCCGTAGTGGCAGGGGATGGGACATTGTCAGCAGCAGCAGGGGTTTCTGACGCCTTCAAGTCCTTCATGGCTGGTACACTCGAGTCTTTATCATCAACCTCGCGGTAGTTCAGAAGTTCACAGAGTAGGAAGTGAACAACGCCATCGGGGTTCTCTACCACGGGCCATTTGGATTCCTTGGGTGCATCGGTCATTTCCTTATCGCCAGCTTCGGTGGAGGGCTTAATGTCTTCCCCAGGAGCCGTAGTTGATGGAGCTTCGTTACCGTTCTCACTCTCCTCGGCGGCAGGTGATGTGGCGGAGGGGCTCTTCAACGCGAGCGGATTACGGAAGGTCAGGCAATCGCTCGGCACCCACTGGTCAAGCTTCAACATCTCAGCTGAGGTGTCGACAAACATATCGGGAGCTCTGAGCGCGGCACCAGCGAGGTTGGTGATGTAGGTTTTCAGGTCACGTCGTTGACCTCGCTGCGAGATGTCAATCTGGTTCTTGATTTCGGCCCTGAGGATCTGCCGCGTGGTTTCTTCGTCTTCAACGATATGCCTTAGGATGACCATGATCCAAGAGTTGATCTTGGAACGGTTAAGCCTATCCGCCCCTAGAATAGAGAGTTGTTTGACCATAACGAACAGCCTCTGCAAGTTCTTCTTCTCGCCCAATTGTTTGGCCAGGACAGCATCTCTGGAGAGGAAAACAAGAACTCTGAGAGCAGCGGTCGCAAGAATTTCGTCCTTGCCGATTCGTGGGAGAATATCTAGAACAGCATCCAAAATTTCCTTGCACTCATCCGTGGTAACAATGAATTCGCGGACGCTGAAGACGGGAGACGTGATAGGCTCATCGTCGGACTTCGGGGGGGTCCACTTGCACTCATGCGGTTGGAAATCATGCTGAAGAAGGGTCTCGATCACCAAAAGGATGTAAGGGATCCAAGGAGGGAGTTCCTCGTTTGAAACCTTCGGAGGAACCTGGAGAAACCCTACATACTCCTCAACCTTTTCGCGGAGTGTGTCGACGTTGCATTTGAAGAACTGCTTCTCCTGGAGAAGCAGGGCGAGAAGGTGCGCAAATGAAGCGATGCTCTTACCATTGGCAGCCTTGTCTTCGTCGTCAAACGCTAGTGACGACAGAGCATTCGCCAAGGTAGCGCCAACTTCCTCGCGTACATCGTCGTCGTTCTTTTGTCGAAGTACCATCGATTTTATCAATTCTGATAGGTCGATTGCCGCGCTGGGATGAGCGCGCAATACGTCCAAGGACTTGTCAATCAGGCCATCTCGGAGCTTGTCACGAAGATTATCAAGTTCCGTTTTTGGGTTGCTTTGCTCCTCGGCGGCCTTGTCATCAGATGAGGCATCTGCAGGCTGCTGTTCCGCAGCACCATTCGAACGGGACGCAGATTCTCCAAAGGCCGTGTCATCGTTATCCTCCGTAGCCTGAGAAGAGTCATCATCATCAGCAGGTTCCTCGGCGACTTCGGCGCCAATATTTTCTAGCTGGAGCGCATAATCGATAGACATGGATTCTGCCGTAGAAGCTTCCGCATCGGGTCGGTTCTCCTGGTTAGATGGCTCAGCTGAACTTGGCGTGTAGGCATCCCCGGCGGGGATGGGATTCCGGGGACCTGCGACGCCAGCCTGGTGGGCTTTACAATAGTCATTTGCCGCGCGGGCGTCTCCATTGGCCCGGTAGAGAGCCTCCGCAGCCAGATCCTCCTCGTAACCTGCCTCGACGAGTCTTGTGACTTCACGCCTAAGGTGTCCCCAATCAAACGGATCTCGGGTCGTCTTGAAAATCGACGTCTGGAACTGTGAATGTGAGTTAATAGGAAGTTCTGACGAGGGAGAGCTGGGTGGTGCTTAAAACAACCTACCTTTTCACCACGAGACGAGGGGGGAGTCTCGTATTCAGCAGTGGAGATGAGGTTAAGGATGTCGACTACAAGAATAAGGGTTTGATCGGAAATCGTCTCGACCAAATCCGATTGCCACAATTCGTCGATCACAGGCAGTACTAAAAGCCGAAGCTCAACAACGAGCTGCTGGGTTAAGGGAGTATCGCGGACCCTGTCGGTACGGACCTGCAGATTGTACTGGCTCGCGGAATCGGTGATATATTTTCCGTTGACAATCAGAACATAGAGGTCCAGGATTTTCTTCACCCCAAACGACGCAACCTTGGCCTTGGTAGAATCCTCACCGCCGTCGGCGCCGGCGGTAGATATCTGTCGAATGAAGGCCCGGAACATACTGTTGAGTACATCAAAACCACCCCGCTCCTTGAAAGCCAGGAGTACGGGCATGACAAGCTGAACCGAGGAGCGTTCGGACGCTCGAGACGTATCGATGAGCATCTCGTGGATGGTGTGCATCATGATGATCCAATAGTGATAATCCTTAGAGGTTGGCTCAGCAGTATTGACGGACGGCTCAAGGTAGTCTAAAACCGACTCCGCCAACGCCCTTGCAACATCTAGATGGCGAGGACGCAACTTGTCTCGGTCGCGGCGTGGAAGTAGTGCTTTTCCGAGAGATTGGAAAAGGGGATAAGCTGTCGGCATCATCGAGTGAAGAAGTAGCCGGAGTGTATCATAGTTCTTGAATCTGATGCTGGACATCTCGGTCGGGGTGGGGCCCAGAGTCTGGTCGCTTGCTCCAGAGACCGTCAAATCGGGCGTCTGTTCGCTATTAGCACCGGGAGCACTGCCGGGGACCGAACCGGCAGCGGATGTAGGGAGCGTTGCGGGCGCTGTGCCTTCAACAATGTCCTTGTCATCGGCCCCCGAAGTTGACGCGCGCCGATTAGATGACCAGTGGCGAGGTACTAGACCATGATGAGCAGATTCTTCGAGTAGGCTGGCTCTTAGCAGCGGCCCAAGAGACTGGATCAAGGCGACGTAGTAATCAAAGACATTAACAGGGTGGAGCAAGAAGTTATTCGATCTGGAAGAAGACGCGAAACAGTCGCAAAGCGTCTTAACAAATGTCTGGGTATTGAGAAGCGCCCGTGCAATATCGGAGCCCTGCGCCATCTTCTCCGCCAGGTCCGACGTCCACTTCTCAGCCATAGAAGGGGTCACTACGAGATCAGTTTGCAAGAACGGCGCGAAGTAGGCATCGTCTCCGTTTGCTCCCTTCGCTAGAGGACCAAGACGGCCAATGGCAGATTGAGTACGACGGAGAACGGAGGGAAGTGCGACCACTGGCGTATTCTCGACCAGGCCAGAGATAACATGCTGCAATGTCCTCGACGCAGGGTGTTCGCCAAAGGTATAAGCAAGACTCGGCGACTCGGCGATGTCGAGTAGCAACTCAATACCGCCCTTGTTGATGAATGCCACCTTGAGGTTCGAGTTGCTAAGGTAGGTCGTCAAGAAGTTGCACAGGGCGTACACGAAAGGCTCAAAGGCAGGAAGGTCATTCTCCGAGTCCGAGCTGTCATTGGCGCCACTCGTTTTGCTGCCCACATCTGCCCGATCCGACATTTCGATATCCGAGTCGTACGTCGGCGCGACGTTTTGAGGCCCAGAAGGTGTCTCCAATACCCCAAGGTCCGCTACGATATCCTTGCTTGCCTGAACAGGTTTCTGCATGGTACTGAGAACCTGAAGCTTGACACCATACTTATCTACCCTTGCTTTATCCTTTCCGAGGTGACAAACCCTGGCCACCATGTCAATTGCTGCGTTCGCAATCGGCGTTCGAAGAGCCGGGTGATGGCGGGCAAGCTCGTCAAAATGACGCCCGAGGCCACTAGCGGAATCGTAGTCAGAGTCCAGACATCGAACATGAGCCGGGCTTTCAAAAACTTCGAAATAGCTCTCGAACACCCGAGACGCGACGACCATCCTCAACCCGGAGTTGTTCAGGCAAATGGCGTTGAGAACGACGGGAATAATGGAGATAGCCTCAAAGGAAGGTAAAGTGTTGCCGGCGGTGGGAGACGGCCGCGATGCTTCCAACATCTCCGCGGTTGGCGGGTGTGGTCGATCGTCAGCATCCAAGATGACAGGAGGAACATCGGTGGAGTCAGGGCTGTCCTGCTGGTCATCGGAACTTCCTGACTGGTTTCCTTCTCCAGTCTGAGAAGCGTCTTGTTGGATGGGCGGGACAGGACGACCCGTCACGGCAGTGAGGAAGGCAGTAATAAGGCCGGATTCCGAGATGGCAGCGAAACTTGTTGGGTCATTATTGATGAAATCGCTAAGGATGGTGCTCGCACTAGTCCATGGGTAGGATCCAAAGCATTTTGCCTGCTCGATAACAGTCCGCAGACTTTGCAACAGATCAGACTTGTCCGCCAAGTTTCGGAGTAACCTGTCAGCGTTGCCACCGTGACTATACCAGTTAGACATGATATGATGGATGAATCTCAGGAGCGACCTCAATGTTTGATGATGGTAAAACGGTATGTCATAATCGATGACGCTGGTGTGAAAGTCGGCACCCGTTCCGAGGCCCTCCTTCATTAAGCGGCACGAATCTTCAACGGTTACCACAGTCAATTTGGCTACGGCATCCAAACCATCGGCGCTGAAAAAGGCTTCCAAGCCATGAGAATACGTCCAAATCAAGGTGTCGAGGAACTGAAGGATGGCGGGGTGGTGACGCATGGCGATGTTGGATCGAAGACCAAGAATCTCGACTAGGACGTCCATCAGGCCAGACGATAGCATCTCTCCACCGATCTTCATGCCCGGATTCGCAGTAAGCTGGGACGCCAGGGAGAATAGGTTGCTCCTCCACTCGTCGATATCGGTAAGGCGATCCTTAACATCAAGCGGCTCATCCTCCTTCATGCCAGCGACGGCAGTTCTCATGACGTAGAGTAAGATACCATGGTTGACGGTAGCATTGAGCGCAGAGACAACATCCGCAAATCGACAATTCAGACCTGAGAGTGCCTCTAGGAGTGAGAGTGCGATGGACTGCAGCGGAATCGGCACTGGAACGGAACCATTGGCTGTCGGATGAATAAGGTCGGCAAGCTGGTAGGCGAGCTGGAATCGCCGCGTCTCGTCAATGTCATGTCGAAGTACCTTTTCCGTGAAGACGGGCTCGGGATGGATGTTGATCAGGTTGAGGATAGCTAGCAACCGCACGGCCAAAGCCTCTTGCCTATCTTCCTTGGAACCTACGAGAGCCTTGGCGATACGAAGTCTGTGCAGAAGTTCATAGCTTGAGGCCTTTGGCAGGTCAGGGGGGCACTGCGACATGAGGATGTGGAGGGGAGTTGATTTAATAGCAGCTTCGGTGACATCGAACGTCTTCTGGGCCGACGACCTTCCGAAGTCGGTGCCGAAACCAGAACCGCGGGCAGGTGAGGGAGAGCCATCGTCAACCGCCTGAGAACGGCCAGCCTTGGGCGATGGAGTATGCATTGACGAGCTCCTTCTCAAGGGGGTTGGGGTACCGGGAGTGGAAGCGAAGCCATGACCAGGGCGACCCGTGATCCTCGCCTCACCCGCAGCAGACTGGGGATAATAGACGATTTTGACGTCGCCCCAGCCGTTCCACTGAGTGGCATCGGAGGAGGCAACAGCCACCAAATCATTTGCATACATAGTTGCCGCGTTCTTGGCGTGGCTCACTGGATGCGCATGCTCCTTGCCCTTGGAGGAAGAGCCCGGTGTAGGGGCTGGCGGGTATGTGTCAGCCAGGCTAACGATTGGTGTCCGGACAAACGGCATCGCCAGTTGGTGCACAGAGTCGAGATCGATATTATAGTGGTTGGCAAGGAGGGCGGCGGTAACCTGCTGCTGTGGCGTATTGCGTCCGAGGCGTTTGAGCGAAGCCTGGTATCGACGGGCAAGCTCCGACCCCACTCTCAGTGTAGCCAACAGCAGGGACATCGAGGTCGTGTTGAGAACATGGTTGAGGTGGGCACTGCTAGAATAAATGCTCCTGTTTCCGCAGTTCTCGAGGAGCATTCGGGTAAAGCCCAAGATGGCTTCCATCAGCTGCCTGTCTCCATCTTGTCCGAAGCCCGCCTCCCGAAGGGTATCCACATTCCACGTCTTGCCATCACCGGCATACTCGAGACCCACAGGAACATTTAGCAGGAGATCGGAGGCGAACTCCTGGGTCTGAGGGCCTTTGTCGAGATTATAGGTGGCAACAAAGCATTCGAGGATATTGTCGAACCTATTTAGGAGGGGGATCCAGTGGAAAAGGTCGCCTCGAGGGAACGGCCACCGAGATGGAAAGTCGGCGAGGACCTGTGGAAGGAGAGGAAGTGGCGTGGAGACCGCCGACTTGACGAAAGCCTTGAGCCAAGGAGACTATGTGTTGGATCCAAATGTTAGCATAGCCTCTAAGAGGGAGCGCACCTGCGTAGTGTCACGATGAGGGGCGGGGAGGGATGGATGGCGATGGGCAGAAACGGAACATACCTGAGTCTCCTTATGCTTGGCTTGCATCTTCTTTGTGATCTTCCCCATCTTTGTAGTTGACGCGGCCGAGCCGCCGACAAGGAGAAGATCGAACGGCTACTTCCCCCACCACTACTACCAGAGAAGAATCAGTTCTGGCAGCAGCTTCGCCGAAGTTGAGGGACGCCCACGAAACTGGACGGCTCCCTTCAGGAAAAAATGATTCGGTTAAGCGCGTCGCTGAGTAGGAAAGGGAAAGCGCCGGCGAAGAGCTCGTTGTGGAGAGTTAACGGTTGGGTAGGCGCGTAGAGACTCGGGTTGATTGATGTCCAACTCGGCTAGGTCTCTGACAGCGAAGATGGCGAAAGACGGGCGAAGAGGAAAATATCGTTCGATCCGCGGATGAGGGAGCGGACTGGTTGACTTTTCTCGGATGGAAACGATTAGGGTATCGATGGATGACGGTGAATCCTAGCAGGACTGGGTATATGGGACAAGAAGAAAAAAAAAGGAAGGGGGACGAAGGAAGCTCAGGAAGGTGCGTTCGTGGGGCGAGTGCAGGTCGGCCTATGAACAAAACGTCACCTAAGCGGAAAGGCTGTCTCTGGGATAGCTCAACCACCAAAGGTAGAGCTCGACAGCTTGGGAGGAGGGGCAATGATGGAAAATTCGGTTGCCGTCCAGTCTATGCGCAAATACGATCTTCAAGGAAAAGAACAGCGTATGAGGCGATAAGGGAATGACAGACGGAAACTGAAGGGGTATGTGTGGTTTATGTGTTGAGAAAAAGAGGAATGTTTGGTTTGGTGAAGAGGTATTTGGAAAAGTCGTCACCGGCCAGATGCAGGCGTCACAGTGGTGAGGTAAGGCTGGTGGGTCCTCAGGCAGTTTGGGGCAGTTTGGCGGACTGTGTCGACCACAAGGCAGGGAAGGAGCTAACTTGGAAGGCAGATTATTACTGGAGCAGAGGACTGCCGATGGTGGTTTCCAAGTCTGTGACTGGTCCAGGGTAGCACTAGAAGTATCTTGCTTCCTGAAAACTGGGCAATGATACTTTGGGCAGAAACCTGTTGAGCCAGTGAAATTTCGAGGGGCGGATTGCTGATTCATCAAAGCTCTGACCACATTCCAAGTATCGTCATTTGGCAAGGACTGGCAACACAGGCATCTCCGCAAGGAATCAGTTAGAAGCTTCTTTCTAATGTTGTTAACCAATTACTATATTACATGAATTGATATTGATCTTCTTGGTGGTAATTTTTGTAAAAAGAGAAAAAGATCATAATAATAATGTAAAATAAACATCAAAAGAATGAAGGAGAGACCAAAAAAAAAAATAATAAATAAAAATAAAAATAAAAATAAAAAAAACATTCCTCTATAAATAGAGAAGTTGCGCCAAGTGTCATGAAATCCTGTGGATTTCCGCCATTAATTTCCGCCGCGCCAGGAGAGGGAAACAGGAACGCCGCAAGAATAAAATATATTGATACGAAGTAGACTGGTCTGATCCCCAGGCAACGCCCTTCACGGCTGGCCAAGAGCATCTCACCTTTTACGGCAAAGTAAGAACATGTCTCCCCCCATTTGCCACTCTTCCTGGGGACCTCTGTGAAGGAGAAAAGGCTCGCCTTCCTACAAGCTATATTCGCAACACATACGAAGTACAGAAACTCACATGTCAAAACTAAACTGCATCAGCATTAAGCGTGTTTGAAGTCGACGCGGAATCTAGGATGAGAAGCAGGTTGCCCCTCCTGATCTTCTTCTCATTTCAGATCTTGCGGCGAACCAGTCACTCCGGCGCGAGCCTGATAGGAACCACCTCGTTCCCTTGGAGCCTCACCGAGAAATTCCTCGCTGTCTTCTACAATTCTCCCATGGCTTGGAGCCCATCACACGCCGCTTTGCGACACTTCACGCTTAGCGCGATGCGGGGTGCCAAAGACAAGTTCTTCGCAATCGGCTGGGGCGACTATCCGTTGCCCTCCCAGTGATCATCGTAACGGCAAGGATCCTGTCAGCGGGCACAATCTCACCCCCAAGAGATGCCTGGCGGACATAAACAACTTGTTGCCATGCCTGCCAAGTGATGTTGAAAATGCCATGCGTATAATTTCTGGGTAAACCGGCACGCATACTGGATTCGCGTTCTCCCGTCAGCCGCCCTGCGCCAATGTTCTTATACGCCCACACTCACTCGATTGGGAAGCTGTATTCGTAAAATGATTCGCGATGCCAGCGTTGCAGCGGATAGCGTGGGCCGAGTTACTCGTTTCATAGAGCACCTCGGACAAACGTGTATACCGTGTTACTAGTAGTGGTGATAATGCGTGTCCCAGCCACGAGCCTCCCACGGCCCACATTGAAGACAAGTCGACATCAATTGATCAATTACTGGTGTGGCGAGCACTAGAGAGCGTTGTCAGTGGGCCTGTCCGGTTTGAATCGATCAAAATACAGTTGATGTACTCTCATCACGGATGCTCATCAAGTCATTGATGAATCCATTTGTATCGTTTTCCGACCCTAAAACCGGCTGGCTGGTAAGCTCGAGTGGTTCTCTCTCCACCAGAAACACTATAAATCCAATCAAAAGGGCTGCCTAGAGATATTCATGGATCTGTGTTAATATCGAGTCGACTGAATCCTCTGGCATAATCCTCACCCGCCTAGAATTGTAGTTGCTGCCTTCGCTTGCTGACCAACACCCAACAGACCCTCCTAGCCCGTGAATATAAATCGGGTGGGCTACCCATCATGGGGTCCATCTAGCCGGCCCCTTTCAAGCCAAACAAAAACAAATTAGAAGCTAGTGTTCAACACAAATGCTACCGTGCAGGCCGTAATCATGAGTCGCAGTAGAAGTTCAGAGGAAGAGGTCTCGGGCTCTCACGCCAGCCCTCCGGTAACTGCCTGAACTATGAGCTGGCGTGGGATAGGCGCTTCGCTCACGGGAGGCTGGGCTGGATCTTGGACGTTCGAGTAACCTCCCGGGAACTTAATATGCTGAGGATGATAGACGTGATACCTGATAAGCCTGAATGGAAAACCAACATCTTCGACAACATCGTTGCCGAGTCTTGGCGGGAAGAGGCACGCAGGAAAGAGCCCTTGCTCAGTACTAAAGCTTGGGGTTGGTGCCTAGAGGAGCTTCGGGATAAAGCACCGCAGTTTTCTCAGACGAGGGGGGTTTTGGTGTACGATGTCGGTTGCCGGATATCGAAATCGAGTCCAAGGTTGGTACGCGAGGTGGCAGAGAAGCTCAAGGCGGAGGTGGATCGCATCGTCGACCAAGACCCGAACCGGCAAAAGAAAGCCAGTCAACTTCGGTGTATCGTTGACCCGTCACTTTGTCCCTTAGTCTATGTGCACACCATAGTCCCCCCCCAAGTCGTGAGATGCGGCTCGACTCACCCTGGGATAACATTGGCCAGGGTACCCGCTCCATCAAGACACCACATTTGCTTGAGAAACTACTCGTGGAGAAGGTCCGGTGCTAGATGATGTGTGAGGTTCTCTGGAATGCTACCTCGAGTCGACGCCGTTGAGATCCATCAATTGGCACGCCGTAGAGCTGTGGCGATGTTCCAGCCATTTCCAATGGCCTCCTTGTGACATTTCCTTTCGACGTTCTAAGAACGATGGCGATGACTACAAGGTCAACATTACTAGTTACATCGACAGCCTCCATCCCATCTTCGATCGTGCGCTGTATAGTGTTATCGAAGATGTCATATCGATTTCTGTTCCGGCGGGGAATGAGGTTTTAACCCACGCTGTTCCTGGAACCCGTGGCTTTCATGGGCTCTCTTCATGGACGGTGGGTTGTGGCCGGATTCCCCCTCGCATACGGGCATTCAGCGCTTGCGATGAACTACCCTTTCCCCCGAATGGCACTTGTTAGCATAGAGAGGGCAACTTCTATCGACAGCTTCAGGATTTGTCGGATGAGTGGGACACTCTGGACCCGGGGAAGCAGCAGGAAGATCTCAACGAGATCGTGCATCAAATGGAGAAAGCTGAGTTATTCTCCAACGCGAGCTATTTGAACTGTCCTTTCAGATATCACGGGGAGATGGCAAAAAGTCTTCTGCGTTTCCTGCACCCCGAGCGTTCTTCTCATTCCAGGACTGGAAAGTAGGGAGGAACGCGATGCTATATCACGGCGCCAAGAACCGCCGCCTAGAACCGCTCGGTGAATACAATAAGCAATCAAATAACGGCCCAAACACCATCTACGCCGACTAATTAGAAAATGAAGTCCCGCAGCAAGATGGACAAAGGTTCGGTGGACGTTCCTTTATCGGATCGGACGACCTCGACTCGCTAAACGATGGAGGAAGAAGCCCAGTTACATCTCAGATACACACAAGCTGCCCTGTCTGTGATGAATCCGAGTCTCGAATATGTCCAAACTGCCCATTCTGTGAGGAGCCTGAGCATGAACTGGAGGTTGCACGAGCTAGATACAAGGATTGGAATGGTCGAGACACCATCCCCTATCCCGACTTCACTTATCGCGAGGTGCAGCTTCAACGAGACTTTGGCGATCGTGGCCTTCAAGTTTACGTCAAAATCCAGAGCATCAATCTCACACACTAGACTACCCAAATTATATAGGCAGCCAGTGGGGACTCGAGGGCATGCTGAATGAGCGTATCGTTGTGACTCCAGGACACATCAAAACCGGGACATGTCAGGCTGCTTACGGTCTGTCTGGCCGACCGGAACCACGACGACATTATCTCGACAAAACGGGTCGTTCCCCAGAACCGGGACTGGTGGTTGCGAGACGTCTTTCCCTGGCGGTTTTTGGTGAGTAAAGGTCTTCCGGCGGAGCTCATTGAGAAGATGCTTGGGAAGCTTGTAGTCGTGGGCATTTGCTAAGTTTGGGGAAGGCTGAAGAGCTGGGGTCTCAACTCCGGTTCGAAAGGGAAAGAATGATGGCCGAAGTCAACCGGGATATTTACGACTTTGTGTGGGATAACGGCGGTCGTTACTTTAGGCCGGGAGGCAATTTATTCACAGAGGTTACTTTTGTCTCATTTTGGTGAGAATATGGCGACTGATGATTCTGGGCAGCTCATCACCAGCAAGGATTGTGCCCGAAATCTCATGCGCTAGGAAGATTACTAGGGATCAAATGCGAAACCTGACCGACCCTCGTAGGTTAAGAAGCCACGTTTGCAAGGCGATCCGATTCGCCGTTCACTGAGAAGGAGGGTGTCATTGGATGGACTGGTTCGGGCGTGGCGCACGAAGATGCGCAAACAGTCATCTCTGCAAGGACCCCGCATCCCACCACCTGTACCCAGACATTGAGCATATCAAGATCAATGAAATCCTAATTTCCAGCACTTGGATCAATATCTATACTACGTATGATCCAGTCGTAACCAGAAGGTGGTGTCATCACGATGCGAGGTCACTATCGAATAGACGAATCTGAGCGACAGCCTCCGAGATCAAATTCATTGATGCAAATGAGATCATCTCGTAAAGTCGAAAAGAAAGTTTTCTTGGTGTGTCGATGGTCGCACTTGTCCAAGTGCAGTCATCAAATACGAGATCCCATTACACCACCACTCGATGGGTGATGGGTGATGGGTGATGGATGATGGGTGATGGATGATGGATGATTCACCTCAACCTAGCAAACTGATGATGAGCGAGAAATGCCTTGAAGACAAGATAAGGGGGTACCGCGAGCATACGGATGATCAATATCGAGATCACTGATGTACATAGATCAATCAACCATTAGATATTCTCGAAGCCATCAGCTGCATCGATCAACGACCTACCTTTACCATCAAGGACGGAATCGAGCGGAACCTGCAGTTCTCAACAGATCAGTGAGTCCTTTGCGAGGCCAAAATGTCCAAATTGATCGTCGGTATTCGGATTGTCTTTGCTTTGTGAGGACTTGCATTTACTGCTCATGAAGTAATCAAGTTCAATGATATTTGCTCTCCACCTTCCCCCTGGATCCGCCCCTTTTCCTTCAGACAAGGAGAAAGTGAAAGTCGCTTGCTGGATTTGGCGCTACTCAGAGACTGAGTGCAGGCTACTGGAGGCGGGAAGGCGCCCTAGAGGCTGGGACAATTGGCGCCACCACTCTGAGACGCTGGTGTCATTTTGCTCTGCTCCACAGCCAGCTCAACCATCAATCGAAAGTACAGGTACCTCCGCTCTAACTTCTCGACAGGAATTGATCGATGTTCAGCCACAGGCTCGTAGAGACTTTGTGAATTGTGCGAAGTACCTTGACTTCGTCTTCTTCCTCCTGCCGCCCGGCATCTCTACAACATCAATGTACCTTGTCTGGGACAGAGACAGACGTCTGGTGCGCTCTGCTTGCATAGCCCCTGTTCCTGCTCCTTCTAGTATCGCTACTTGCACTTCCTCTCACTGGGTCGACATGTGGATTGACTGACACGCGATAAATTTGGTTGATGCATTCAATATCCATTCCTCTCTATAATACCCTCCTTTCTTTCTGGATCTGGACACTTTTGCGCTTTCCCTACTGATTTACCCTGTCGAGGGGAAAAAGGAGCACTGCATTTTTCAACTCTCCTTTCAACTCGTGGCCCCGCCTCTCGTTTACTCGTCCATTGTTGTTGCCAACGACATCTTCTTTCTTGGGCCTCGACCTACCAGCGACTGCAATCCTGATCCAGCCGTTTCCATCCTTTGTCTTCCACCCTCCATGGCTGGTGTTTAGTCTAGAAAAAGGCTACGCGGAAGCTCTACGCAACTATCGACGACGACCATCCTTCTATCATACTCTCAAGCCAGCTGGCTAGATCCCAACGCAGAATCGCCGACCCAGCCATGTCTCAACCAGAGGAAGTCGTCTCTCCAGTCTCCAGGCGAGACGACTCGTCTTCTGAGAGCATGGAAGACGCTGTTGAGAAGCAGGTATGAAATGATCATGGCTGTCGATCCCCTTTTTGTGTTCCCCCAGCGATCGCTCGCTACGTACGCAATCTTGCCCTCGCGCGCTTACCTGTGCTTACCCGTGGGTATCTCGAGCTGACATTTGGCGTTTTCCTTTTCCGTTGTCTAGGAGTTCCGCGAGGATGTGCCCGAAACCGCCTCAGCTCGATCATTAACGAAACGATCTCCCTCGCAGACACAGCAGGCGCCCCTGTCCGATCCAGAAGCAAAAAGCACTCTCGAAAAGGAATCCGCTCCCGCTGCGGCTCTACCCCCCGGCCAAACTGACGAAAGTGCGCCCACTCCCGAGAACCAGTCTACACAGGAGAAGCACCGTGACTCTGTTCAATCCAGCCACCTATCCGATACGTCCAACCTAGAGAATGTCAATCTAGACGACGATTTGACACCCCCACAAAAACAAGGTTCGTCAGGCTCGGGGCGCAGCATAAATTGATTATCCCTGTGCATTGACTGATCGTCCCGTGAATAGAAAACCCCACGTCCAAGAACCACATCCCCAAGGAGACGTCCAAGACTCTCTCGCTAAGCAGCATCACGAACGCACTTCCATCTATGCCCTGGTCCCCCTCTGCAGATTCCGCATCGCGAAGCCCTATCCCGTCACCGCCAGCGCCTTCCACCCTATCAACCAGTCATATCAGCGCCCCCGCACCACCTACCCGAAAACTCACAAGTCCTTTTTCCTGGCTCTCTCGGAACTCGACGCACAAGGACGGCAACACGTCTCCTCCTGCCACTCAGGTGTCGCCTAGGCGAAATACAGCCAGCTCCATCGCGACTCTGACAAGCAACCCGGAAATGATGCTAGGCAAGTTGGATGAGGAGGGGACCTCCGCCAATGGTACGACCAATGCCAATAGTTTGAAGGATCGCTTTAAGCTCGTGCGAATGAGAGAAGAGGCCGGGGTTACAGTGCCCACTGGCGATGACGACAAACCCGGCCCTGTCCCTATCACACCTGGCACCCATAAGCCTCCCAGTGTAAAGAGCAACGAGTCGGCAGACAAGCACCTTGCCCCTGGCACTGCATCGGGCGTCTCCGCCGGTCCCTCGGCAATTGCTGAAGCGGACGTCGACTGGGATCTCTGGCAATCCGTCGTTTACGAAGGTCCGGCGGCCGTGGCGAGGTCTAGCGCAGACGAGCTCAATAGAGCTATTGCTACCGGTATTCCCAGCGCCATCCGCGGGGTCGTGTGGCAGGTGCTAGCGCAGAGCAAGAACGAAGAACTCGAGCAGGTCTACAAGGAACTCGTCACCCGCGGCAATGAGAAACAAAAGGACCGAAACAGCAATGGCACCTCTGCGAGCGCGACGACGAACGGCTCTCTCGCGGTGCAGAACGACGCAGTTGGTTCGTCGGCGTCCTCCATTCACTCCGACCACACTGGAGCCAACGGAACCCCCTCTCCACGAACCCCTAGCGAGAAGTTCCTCACTGAGGCAGAGAGGAAGAAGAAGGAAAAGGAAGATGCCGCAATGCTTCAGAAGTTGGAAAAGACGATCCGCCGAGATTTGGGCGCCAGGACAAGTTATTCCAAGTATGCCGCCGCAGCTGGGCTTCAAGAGGGCCTCTTTGGAGTCTGCAAGGCATATGCTCTCTTTGATGAGGGCGTGGGGTACGCACAGGGCATGAATTTTCTGGTCATGCCTATCCTCTTCAACGTAAGTAGGCTTGGGGCCTGCCAGAGTCTATTTGTTTTTCCAAGTGACTAGTGCTCCTTTTGATTTGTCCGTAGCTAACGACAAACCCGCCATGTAGATGCCCGAAGAAGAAGCCTTTACCCTCCTAGTGCGGCTGATGAACCACTATAACCTAAGGGACCTCTTCATCCAGGATATGCCCGGACTCCACCTTCGCCTATACCAATTCGAACGCTTACTTGAAGATCTCGAACCCGCCCTATATTGCCACCTCCGCCGCCGAAACATCTCCCCCCATCTCTATGCGACGCAGTGGTTCCTCACATTATTCGCCTACCGCTTCCCATTGCAACTAGTTCTTCGAATCTACGACCTGATCTTATCCGAAGGCCTTTCTGCCATTTTACGGTTCGGCGTCGTCCTAATGCGAAAGAATGCAGCGGCCTTGCTTGCGATCTCGGATATGCAGCACCTCACGACCTTCCTCAAAGACAAACTATTTGACGTGTACATAGACAAGGACCCAAGCGCGGGTAGCATTCTTGAGAACGGCTTCTTTGGCAGCTCCAGCTCGAACCTGGACAAGGAAGTGTACAGGGCTGACCAGCTCGTGCGGGACGCGTGCGAGGTCAAGCTGACGCCGGAACTTCTAAAGAGCTACACCGTCGAGTGGGAGGAGAAGACCAAAGCGGAAAAGGATCGCGAGACCGAACTCGACAACTTGAGGACGACGAGCGCGAGCCTTGCCATCAAATTGCGGAAGCTCGAGGAGCGCCTCGAGGCCGCCGACACGGAGCAGGCGGCTATGGCCACCGAATTGGTCCATACGAAGGTCGAAAACGAGGAGCTCAAGGATGAGAACGAGAGCCTCAAGGGCCAGGTCAGGGAGCTCCGCGTTGTCATCGAAAAGCAACCGGAGGAGATTGAGCAGGCGTGGCAGCTGGAGAGGGATGACTTGATGAAAAGGAACCAGAAGGTCCACGACGAGAACCAGCGGCTGGAACAGGAGTTGACCAACCTTGAAGAGCAGCTTGTGCAGACTAAGATGCAGTATGCAGAGGTATGTTGTGTTTTGTCCCTTTCCTTTTCGTCCTTTGGTCATCTCTCATAAGCGAACCGCCGTTCGAGGTGTCCACCAAGGATTGTTGGCTAATGTTTGTTTGCATACAGATTAACTCTCAGCACGAAGCACTTACTCGCCGGTGGACCGATCTCAAGCGACAGTTTGTCTAAGTCTCTCTCCCGTGCAGTCAACCGCTCTGCACATCATCAGTCGAATCCGGCATATCGACCACCCGCTCCCGACCACGCTGTCTAGTGGCATGCAGACACACGTCCTCGTTCCTTGCAGCAACTATTGTGGATTAATTTGAACGCTTGCGAGAGATGTTTTTATGTTTCATGGATGGTTACGAAATCGGTATCTTTCTTAGAAAGGACACACAGCTGATACCAAAATACCAACGGATGACTTTTGTTGAAGACGTCCAGGAAGCCTGTACTAACTGTACTACACACACGCACACATAAGTCCTAATGAGGCGCCATGGGGTTTATAGAAATATTGATATTCGGGGAACTAAGTCTGAGACTTCAATGTTTATTTGCATTTTGAACGCCGAGTGCCGAGGTCAAAAGTAGATGTCAATTGATACCAGTCAGACAAAGTTTATGGGCTCACTTCGTACGACGCAGCCCACATCTCAGAGCGTACAAGTATTTTGAGTTTAGAAATGGAGACTTGAGCCCCTGAACTGAGACTTTAACGGTCTGGTGAGGTGTAACTATGAATTAACACTTCACAACAGTGACTCTCATGGAGTCGTTCGCATAGCATCGGATTAGTGAGCTAGTTATCCTCGGTTTCCGAGAACTTATCCACTCGTCCGGCCCAAAAGGTGTTCCGTGGACACTTGTCATCCTCAATCCTGCCATCGTTTTCCTAAACGTCATCCAAGTCTTCTGCCGTCTCTCGCTGTTCAACATCCACCATCTCGGTCTCCGGGATAAAACTGTCTATACTTGGTATCTTTGATCTTTGTCCCCAGACTCATCTGCAATCCAAGCCCAACGACAAACCACGACAAGGCTAGCGGATTGATCCTGGAAACCGTCTCGATACGGTTGGCTCAACTGTCCAAGCGTCCTTCATCCAATTGGCGGCACCTGCCAATCACACCATTCCTCCTTCGGCTTTGCCTCCCTTGTGCTCCTCCTCATTTGACGTTGGAACTTTGATGGGGCTCGGCAAGTTCCAGCGGCCGGCTCACTCACTCTCACCGAACAGGTTGGGGTAAACCTCAGATCCATTGATGTCTATCCTGGAGACGGCGACTCTGCCAAGTCCTCACACCCAGCATCACTCACATTCACATGCACGCTCGCGATTCTCAATGGGGTTCTCCGCCTAGATCATTCCCTCTCACTTGTCAACGAGACGCAGGGAGCGACGCCTGGTGGCGAGACTCGAAAAAAAATTCAAAGCGCGGCGCAACATACCACCTGGCAATTAAGCAGAAAAATCCCTCCCGCCTTGACAATTTTTGCGAAGGAGCCCGTTTTTTTGAGGGGGAAAGTTGGAAAAAACAAACCCGGCAATTACACGATTCGCTCCGGCCCTTTTTGATTGTTTTTTCTCTCCCCCGATATCTTCTTGCGTGCTCCGATCCCCGAGGGACGGGACCTTTTGAGAATCTGCTCTATTGATTCGACCACCGAGGGGCTCAGTCGGTCTTCGGCCTTCGGCTACGGGCGGCGGAAGGGCCAAAGAGGTTGCTGACATTCCGCCATTCTCTCTCAGCCTTGTCGGTCAACCCAACCCATGAGCAGAGCTGGCTCTGACGACCAGCTTTGACGGGTGAATTTTCCTGTTTTCATTTACCTCTTCCCGCGTCTTGCTTTTTTATTTGCTTGCTTTGAATTAATTTAAGCCATGAGTCCCGCTATAAAATCCCAGGATCCGCCCGGCAGCCCGGAGGCATCTTCCAAGACGGTGACGATGATGGGTATGGATGAGGACGGGGCCGGCGGCGGCGACCACGACGGGGATAGGGCGGGCGATGGTGAAAATGACCCTGCGAAACCGTCCAGGAAGCGGCAGCGCGTTAGGCTAAGCTGTCTCGAGTGCAGGCGCCGGAAGTTATCCTGCAATCGAGCGCTGCCATGTGATCGATGCATCAGGAGCGAGACGCCGGGTCGGTGCCAGTATGAGACGAGGTCCGGCAAGGTCATCAATGCTGCGTCGGACTATAATTCTCTGCCTCCAGACTTTCGACGCCTGGACACCACCCAGTCTCCCATCCGTGAGAGGGATCATGAGAGGATTAGAAAGCTGGAACACGAGATTGTCCAGCTGAAGAAGGAGATGTCCCGGCATAGAGGATCCCTGGACGGTAGCACGCCCGTAGCCACGACGTCACCGTCTACCCAGGCGGGCGATCAAGAGGGGGCGGCGGAGGAGGCCCGCAACAGCGCGCAGAATCTGCCCTTTGGCGCCGAGAAGGGCGAACTTCGGTTCGTGAGGTTCAAGGAGTTCCGAACCCGATTCTTGGGCCCGCATAGCGCTGCGATGGCTATGGCGGAGCTGACGGGCTTGTCGCCCTTCATGAAGGAAACCGCCGACGAGCTGCTGAGGTCGGTGAAGCTTCATGACCGCAAGGGCAAGGATCGGAAGATGCGAACCGAAGTGCGGGAGAAGCTCGCCCTCGAGCCGGACCTGTTGCTAGAGTCCCTTTTGCCGACTAAGGAGGAATCTGATGCGCTCGTCACCGTCTACCTCGATATCTTTGAACAACTGCACCGAATTATTCACATCCCAACGTTCCGCAGAGACTACGCCAAGTTCTGGGATTCTCCGGAGACCCGACCACCGGGCGCGAGGCGTGCCGCATTCACGGCGCTAGTTCTGTCCATCATGTCGATATCGTGCTGTCTCTACTCCCACCCGACCATCAAGTTTATCGGCATGATGTCCGATAACCATAGCTCCGCCGTGAAGTGGGTGACAGCCGTCGACGACTGGCTGGCCCGTCAGAGCCAGAAGCATCGCAAACTGATCCACTACCAAATAGCGTGTCTCCTCTACATAGGAAAGCGGGTGAACACGATCAAGAAGAAGAGGTTCTGGACCGGAGCAGGCGCGCTCATCCAGGACGGTATCTCGCTTGGTCTCCACCGCGATACGCGCCACATGGCTGGAAAAATGTCGGCCTACAATCAGGAGATGCGTCGCCGCATCTGGGCGACGGTCCAGGAGCTCGATATGCAGGCCTCGTTCGACTTTGGCTTGCCGACTTTGACAAGCCAGATCCACTACGATGTCGCGGCACCCGCGAACCTCGACGATAACGAGTTTAACGAGGAGTCAGCGGAGATCCCCCCGTCTCGCCCTCCAGATGAATATACCTTTTCGTCCTACCAGCACATCTCTCGGCAGAGCCTTCCCTTGCGACTCGAGCTGAGCCGCTTCCTCTACGGGCCTCCAGGCCACTCGGATTACGACGACATTGTACGATACACGAATGATTTGATGCGGGAGATCGACGCGCTGCCCTCGTGGGATCAGAATTCTAGCGGGACGCACAGCTCGAAGAAGCCGATTCTCGCGTATACTTTGTTGCATATCCAGCTGAGACAGTATATCCTGCCCATGCACCAGCAGTACGTGAAGCCGGGGAGCGACGGCACGAGGTATCAGTACTCAGAGAATGTGTCGTATAATGCGGCGCGGGATATCGTGTTGTTGCACGATAAGCTTTATGAGCAAGGGATTCAGGCGTTGAACTTCATGCGGGAGGATACCCTTACTACTGCTACCAAGCTGTGCAGTGTTACCATGCTCCAACCACAAGGTATGCTAATTACACTCCAATCCGCAAGCACATGGACCCGAAGGGGAGACGCAACCCGAACTAACGCGAGAAACTGAATACCAAATAGGATCGACGAACATGATTATGATTAACGCACGACATACCGTTGAGTTGATTGAGAAGTGCATCGCCATGAAGGAGGACCGCTTGCTGAGGTCCGGTAACTACGAACCTTGGGGTTTCGTGTTCCTCTACGGAGCCCTCGGGCTTTTGCAGGCGCATCTCAACCTCAAGTCGGCTGCTGACGCCAAGGCATCCGCCATCGAGAAGCTGAAGAATTTGCAAGATCGCCTGAGTCAAGTTCGTCAGTTGCATTCTCCTGATGATCTTGAGCGATCGATGAGTTCCGGGTCCATGGGCCCTAGTGTAAGGATTTCCTCTCTATTCTCCTCTGCTCTGCCTCGGCCCCCCCGGGAGGAGTAGTGTAAGAGGTCTTTTCGCTAATTTCGAGTATGTATCTAGCCACCGGTTATGACTTTCCAAACGCCAACATCTATGGCTTCACGGGCTGGCCTTGTCGGGCCCTCGACGCCTGGAATGATGATGACACAAGACTTTCCTGTAGGCTCAACTGTACCCTTCTTAGCCATTGAAATGACTGCTAACCGCGCGTAATAGATGCAATCGTTTCCTACTAATTTCGACTTCCAGCCCTTCCCGGAGCAGTTCCTTGGTGATTTCTTCAACTTGAACGTGCCGGAAACGTGGCCTTTTACTGGCGTGTAAAAGGGGATGGGGTCTTATTGTGCTTTTGATCTTTTCCTTTCCTTTTCGTCTTTCTCCACTTTCTCTTCACTATACATAGTAATGATATCCTGTTGTAGCCTTGAGAGTACGTCTTTTTTTTTTTTTTTTTGTTTCTGTTTGAGTTTCTGGTTCCAAGTCTATATTTGTTCAAGTGTACAAAAGACTTTATTCGCATGGAATGGAATAGGCAAAATCTTCGTTATGCGTCATTTGTGTGTGTGTATTTCGGGTATGGGCCAGGTGGTAGTCGTGGAGCATGTTTTGTTTTTCTGGTGTGTTGATGATACGATACCATGGCTAGGAGTTTGTATCCTTCTCGTTATTTTCTTTTAGGTTAAGTGAGCTAGGTATGAGTTGATGAGAAACGCTTTGCTGTATGTAAGTATAGTTCTATCTAACAAGAAGTCGAGACATGTTCGTGATATCGTGGATAGCCAGCACCAAGACTGCATTTTGCCTTGTCATCTCGATATCGTATTTCACCTCTCCCCTAAGAAGAGTCCTATCGCGACGTTATACCCGAGGGATATCAACACCAGTGGCAGATCTCGACTGACCCTGTATCAACGAGAGATTATAAAATATTGCTAAGACGGAAGAAGAGGGGGAAAGGGTCTGATCCCAACCAAAGGGGCCCGGGGGTCACAGCATGCACTGTGTTCCCACCCCCCTTCGAGCGTCTTTTTTCGCGTCTTTCTACTGGCGGCTCGCCTTGGTCGTGATAACCTCCTATAACATGGCCTTGTCTTTATTCTATTCCCAGCGATCCTATCATTCTTGGAGCTTTTGCAGCGACTCCTGGCGGTTCAGGACTTTGGCCATTGGCCACCTGGAGAGATATTTTTGGAGCAGAGCGGGGAAATGGGTCGTTTCCAAGTGTTACAACTTACAAGGAAGATACGAGGATAAGCGCCGGCCTCACTTCAGAGCAATGGCTGTACTGGCTTTATTTTCAACTATAAATCGACCGTCAACACCCAAGTTTGGATCATGTTAAACTTAGTTCATCGTTGAACCCAATTCGATCTCCTAGTCGCCGAGCCTACAATGGACACTACAAAGCCACCAGGTCATCACCTTCTACATCACTGCCCCTGAAACGAACTCTACGACGCACCTAGACATGGCCAGCAGCAGCAGCAGTCAGTCGCAAGGAGCCAGGTACTTCGGCGAGACCTCGCCACAAGATCTGAAGGAGCTGGAACGCAATGCTCTAGGGGCAAAACGGAGCCATATGGCAACGGCCGCGTCTTACCTTGAAGAAGCCTTCGAAGGCCAATACTACGCTTGGTTCGGGGGGTGGGCTCTCAACCTTCGGGGATCTCGTCGAGAAACCAGAGATATTGACCTTCTCGTGCTGGCGAATGACGTCGGTAAAGTGAGGGCTACTCTGGCGTCGTACCCTTGGTTCGTTATCATCCACTATCGGGCTGCTAGTTCTATTATCACTAACGTTAAATCAGGGCCATCTTGTCGTTTTATGAGATCATTGGTAGCATTCAAGAAAGAATGTTTGTGGACATTGGAGAAAACGGTCAGGTTGTCGGCGTAGATATCGTTCTCTCAGGTTCGCACCAGTGCCACCCAGCCCGTGTTACAGCGATACTAGCAAAATGACATTAATCGCTGATTTCTTTATAGGCCGACTTGACACCCCGGTTCTAGGAGACGAGGGCTCCTACGAACTGATTCAACCTAGCTTCACCACGCCGCAAGGTAGTGAGGTGCCTGTTATTCACCTGACATGGCAAGTTGAGGGAAAATTGGGTGCATGGATATCCCGGAAGAAGATGTCGGACTTCGACGATCTGGTATTTCTCTTCCAAAAATATGGCGATGAGATCATTCAGTGGAGTGAGCATCTAGATATGCAACGGCGGCTTGATTTTTATGGACTGTACGAGGTGGTAGTCGAAGACAATAGGCTGCTCGAACGGATGAAAAAGGTTCTCCGCCTCGACGATTGACGCAAAGGAAGCTCAGGAGAGGTCTACACTAAGGTGTCCGCAGTACTGGCAGGGAGAAAGGTTGTGGTTTCTGGTGTCTAAGCTGGTTGTGTCGCGGTGAGTGTGAGCGTGTACATGCGAGATAAAGTCCACGGACAGAGGAAGTGACTGGGGTCTAGCCTGATTGTTTTACATTGATAGTGCACTGGGGTCTCTAGAAGTTAGATGAGCAGATCGAAGGAGCTTATGTTAGCAAATGGCAAAGGGTGCAGAGCGTTGAAACGTTGAAACTGGAGGGGCGGCGGCGAAACAGACAAAGCCCAAAAAACAAGACACAAGTGGCCCTAGTACTTGATTCCCTAGTTTAGTATCAAGAATTAAAGTGAATTCCAGGAGCTGAATAAGGAAGAACAATTCATCGCCGGCTATTAGCCCTCTCTTTCATTACCTACCTCATAACCCTAGTACATATCTGAAAACACTGTCCACGAATCTGGCTCATCCACAATGCGGTATTGCGTGACATAGATATCACTCGGCTTCGTCCAGTCGAGCCTATCCTTCTTCGTACGTACCATAGACTGCCACATCTCTCGCCTGCTCTTTGGGCCATCGTAGGCAAAGGGGGCCCAATGCGCGAATTTTCCATTTGCAAATTCTCGTCCTCTGCGGTTCATATCTTTCGCCCACTCTACATCATTGAATCCGTCGAGTTCAAGGTTTTCCTCTCCCCATTGTTCGGACAGGTTAGTCCCGTCGACTACATCGCAGAGTTGGAGCTCATTGCGCGTGTCTAAACAACTCTGGATGAAAACGTCGAGCTTAGGATAAGGCAGACCTCGGAGGCTTCGTGTGATGTTAGAAGGCTCGCAGACTATATGAACATCCCTTGCAGGTACAAGGATAAAGTGGAAGTCTGTCCCTTTGCCTTTGAATCGGGGATAGGTATGTAAGAGAGATAGGCTTGGATGAGGCCATGGCTCCACGAGAGTGTAATCAGAAGAAAATGGTTCGGACTGTAATAGACGTGCTGCAGCATCGACGAGCTCTGTTGGAACACATATTTCCCAGTCCTGGAGACTCGAGCACAAAATTGTCAGTATGCCTCGAGGGCGGTAGGTTAAAAGAAAGAGGCTACAAACCGGTCGCACTCGGGCTGCGCCGTAAAAGATGAGCGCAGACACACCAACAATGCAGCATGGGATGTCGGATTCTTCTAGAATCTTGGTAACTCTAAGGGCATCATCAGTGCCCTCGCCATTATTTGATGCTCTCTTTTCATTTGTATCTGTTTTGGTGGAAACTCTGGCAGAACGAGGAGGAGGTGGTGGGAGTGCCTTACTCTTTAGGGACTTCATTGATAATGTGAAAGGGAAAGGGCAAAGAAGCTCCAGAGTTTGATGCTTGAATGAGGGAGTTGGTTTTCGGGGCTTGAAAGAAGAGAATCAAAACAGTGGAGGGGATTGTACTGTGCTGTTTGTTCCCGTCGTCCCAGGCAGGTCGAGTAGCTGGATATAGCATTCACAGTAAGCCATGCGCGGGGAAAGCTTGGAGTGATTAAGCTGGCTTGGCTTATCTAAGATTGTCCCCAGCCAAGGGCATGAGACATCACCATTGATCAGTGGCAGCCACGAATGCAATCAATTAGATTTAGCAAGTGGACATTGATTGTTACACCATTTGATGTGATGAGCCCAACAAAGCTGGTGTCGGGATGGAATCGAATCGCCGCGCGGCTTGGAAGCGCCGTTCCGCTTACACCCACTGGAGGGATCATTGTCTACAAACAGAGGCCCCCGGACTACGTTGGAGAGATCCGCCAGGCCTGGCCAAGAAGGAATTGTTGAACGACATGGACAACTCAATGCCGTCCCAGGTAGCTTCGGATAACAAATTTGTTCTCTCGGAGAGATGCAAGGATCCGCCTCCAAACTCGGAACTCGTCGGGGATGGTGGGGAAAAAAAGATTAAGGCTGCCGGCGATCAAGGAGTTGGCATGGCAGGGAGAGTGAAAGGCTCGTACGCCTTAAAAATGAGTGGCTAGGTGTCCGACGAGCTTCACAAGACAGGCTGGGACGCCGTTGAAAATTGCGGCTTCCTCGGCATCATACGAAAGGAATATCATTGCTGTTTGATGGGAAAATTGTTGTTTTTGCACATCGGGAGCGGGTTAAGAATTAGACACCCATTTGAGGGTTCCCTCGAGGCGCCTGTTGGTTTTCTCTCCCTGTTCTGACGTCTAGACTTGATCTGTGGCACAATGGTTAAAAGTATCTGCCCGCTGCCGAAGAGAGAGCTGTAAGAGTTGTTGTCATAGTTCGGAAGAGGGCACTTCTTATCCTCCAGCGAGCTAGGTGCGAAGCACATATATAGATAGTGAATCCATGACGAGGTTGGATTGACTTGTTATATACCGCAACATTCATCTACTTCGTACTTAGGACCTGTGTTGTGGAGTCTGTTTGGTGATCGGCACGGTGGCTCGTTTTTGCGCGAATATCGACCGATCGGGCATCGGGCATTGGGTGGGTGGAGGAAAAGGAAACAGCCTCTTCAAGGTACAACTTGCCTTGGAATAAACGAAAATCTTTGGCAAACGACCATTGCTAAGTGTTTGCTTCAAAAATGTGTTCCGTCCTCGATAATACAGTCTAATATTAAGGCATATACCGTGATTCCCTGCCACGCGTGGGTTGGAGACGGCACGATATTGCTCCAGCATGATCGAATCGAGCCCTTTTCCAATTGACAAGCCGGCTTTTCTGATATCCTGCGCGTTTGCCAGCCACTACCGAGCACCCAAGGCGGCAAGTTCGACAGTCAAGATGTTCTTTTTTGATGAAACATTGAAGGGCACATACCCAACCGCGTTTAAATACATTCTCAGCCTTGCCGGGAACTGGGAAGGATACACTGTTCATGTTGTCGCTTTCCGGCGACTTTCCGTGGTGAGAAAAAGGCATGCTCGATCGAAAAGGGTGTGGCTTGCAGCAGCAGGAGATCGACTGTGCGCACTGTTCCAGTTCGTCGCCCTTGACTTGTGCATGATGCTACGCTTTTTCATATTGAAGTGAGGGATCCGTGCGGTGAATGTGGTGATGCGCTGGAGCGTGGGCTGCATTCTTCAGGGGTCTGAGCGCTGGTTCGCTGGACGAGAGGAACGGAAGCCATTTTATAGGTGAGACCGGGCAGGGTTTAGTAGCGGAGAAGGTGACATGAGATCTGACCGTGGTTCTCACGTCTCCAGCCTTCATCTGGAGAACCAAGTCTAACCAAAAAAGGTACTTCCTGTGGATGGCAACGGTAACGGGAGAGATGAGACCCAGACTTAATTAGTAAGAAACCCCTGCTCTTAGTGAGCTTTGGTTCGAGATTTTTTGCAAAACCAGCGGGACTCTGAGTCGGGATTCATAGAGACCCCATTTCTCCTTGAGTTGGTGAAGCATTGTAATGCTCTTGTTGATTATTCTGATGAATCGAATCTTCTTGGATGGAGACCTGTCTCGGGACTTAAACATCAATGAAGATGAAACGATGACACGTTGAAACAAGACAAAGAGACTAGAACAATCCTGGCCTTTGGTCTTAACGTACTCACGTACCGTGACAGTGACAACGAAAGTTCGCAGCTCCCTGATTGATGGATCAACGTCCTAATTCCCCCCTCCAAGAGCTTGCATGATTCGCAGGTTGCACTGGTGTGGAGTTGCCGAATCCAACGTTGAACATTGGACTCGTCGGTGCCTGTGTTCCTGAACGACAATGAACTGCATCAGAATTAGCTTCGTGGCTTGCAGAAAGCATGACTAAAGTTCGAGTCCGCGAGACGTTGAACCACGGGGATCGAAGATAACAATCGGAGGTCTGGTATTATCCCTAATTCGTGCATATCGGATGGTACAAGAAATGGTGTGCCTTTTCCGATAGGATAGTACTGACAGACCCCAAGCAAATGGGCCTTGGTCATCTTCATACGAAGTAGCAGCACAGTTCATACATTCTGTGATGGACTTCTGTAATGTCCCAACCCTCCACTGCGAAGAGTGCTCAAGTGCTGCTGCAGCTGGCCAGCCGGTCCCCCAATTGAGGGACATTTGTACTCTACTTCTCGCACCCGCCCGCTCAAGTCACCCACAAAGTCACCCGCTAAAGCCAGCCCACCTCCCTAATCCAGCAACAACGACCCCTCTCCCTGGCTCCTTCCCGCTTGTTTCCACCCACCGCCCAAAAAAGGAGAAGGAGCGATAAACAGACGAAAAGTAAGGGCGAGCAACATTTCGAGAGCAGGAAAAAAAAGTGAGGAAAGAACCGCCTCCTCAATTCATCGTCGCAAACTGGAAGCAAGCTCTTCCAATCCTCGACTTTGTCCTCCTCCTCCTCCTACGGCTCTATTAATTCATTCATTTTAGACTATTCTCTCCTTCTATTACCAATTCCGATATTTTTGTTAATTCCATCTCTTACGCCGTATTTCTACCTTTCGGATCTAGGAATCAGGTGCCACTGCTCTCTCCTCGACCCTGCCGCAGTGCCTGTCCTTACAAAGTATTGCATTCCTCTCAAGCCACCGCTGCGTCGAAAATTCGAAACGTCTCTCATTCGATCCTCGAAATACCCACCCCCCTTCGATCACCGATTATCGATATCTTCTACGACGAGCAGTCAATATCTGACCGATACGGAATCTGACCAATGTCCTATTGGGCCACATGAATTGTTCGGTCCTAGCTCGCGACCGAAACATCACCGTCCGCTAGGTCTGTGAGGGAGGGCTCCATCACCTCCTTTCCTCCAGCCCTCCGCCTTCTGTTGTTAGGAGATTGTAGAGTCACTGCATTAGAGAGCAAAACCGTATTGTCGAGTTCATCAGTTTTTGTACCGTACCTACATCAGCTCATCCGAATTGGCGAGGACGAGCTCTCACCTCGAGTGAGCCCACCGGACAAATGCCGTGGCAACCACTACCCCGTATCGCCTTTGCCGTCGCGACCTATCCCTTCACTGCCGTCACCCCGGCCGACCTACCGCTTGAAATCGGAGATGAGCTGTATATTATAGAAGAAACGTCAGACGGCAACTGGCTACGCGGCTACCTCGTCGCGCCTCCAAGCCTGCTTGCCGGTCTCACTTCGGTGAAGGGCCAGACCCTCGAAGCGAGAGTTTTCAGCGGTATCTTTCCGCGAAGCTGCGTTGAGGTGAGGGAGATGCTTGGCGAGCCGGACGAAGGCGACGAGGACGAGGACGGGAGTGAAGGTGATATCTCGAGGGGCGCGGTGAACGGTGGGAGTGATTCCGCAAAGAGTGGGCTTGCTCCCAATGCCGATCGCAGGAAGCGGAGAGGCGTCGACAGGCAGAACTCCTTTGAAACTAGGTCTGGCGCGCCCAGGTTAAGCTACCTATCTCAACGGAATCCACCAAATAGTACGTCAGGGGCCTCTCTGTCCATACCCGTCCACCGGGACCCCAACGAGCCCCCACCGCCCGCTCCCGTGCCCATGTTGAAAGTTGGCGACGAAAGCCCGACTTCCGCCCACGAGCCTCTAATCGACGAGATCGCATCTTGCCTGCGCGAATGGCACTCGACCAACCTCCACGAACTTCTTCTGACCCGCCAGTACTCCAAGCTCGACAAACTGTCCCACCTGATAAACTCCCTGTACTTTGCCCGGCAGCAATTTCTCCACAATGTTTTGACTGCACACGAGTACGAGCGCTTACGCGAAAGGACTGTCTGGGATCTCGTCAAGGTTAACAAACTCTGTGGTGGAGAGGTTATCGTGCGAGACCCATCCCAACGTGGAAGAGTACTGACAGGCGATGACTCCGTTGTGGAAATCACGAAGTTGCAGACAATGATGAGCCTGCTTGACGAACCCCCGCAGCCCATCGTTGAACTGACTGCGTTGCATCATCTCATGGTTGATGTAAAGGGATTCGCTGGTGCCTCTGCCGACGAGACCACCCTCGAGCTGTACCTTGTTGGAAAGCCATTGGGCGATGCCGTATCGACACTCTCCGAGACTTTTTCTGTCAAGGTCCCTTCGGGAGGCTTCATTGGGGCGAATTCTAACCATGCGCAGATGAAAACACTCTTCGCCGATCTCTCTGCCCAGGATATCGGCGACGTGCCCTCCGCTGAATCAGATCTCTTCCTTGTAGTCAAGGTACGCGCCAAGCAGCCCATTGTAGCCGCTCATCCTGGATCACGCTCCGGGCCTGGCATCCAGACACCCTTCTCGAAGGATTCTTCCAGGCCGCCAGTCTCGTCTTCAAACAAGCAGTCCTCGAGGCGTAGCCTCATGTGGAATAAGGGGTCCAGGTCGGGGTTCTCTAGGGGCCAGAATACCGCTAGGATGGAGACTGTTTCTGAGCAACCCGAGCAACGGCCACCAACCACCGGCATGGAGAGCCGGGATGGCAGCTTCCCACCGAGTACTGCAGGTTCCAAGGCCCAAAAATCTATTGATGGCGCCTCGACCTTTAGCGCTACCCGGACTATCGGAATCGGTATTCTGCGCCTCAATGCGATTATGAAGTACGAGGAGGAGGTCGAGCAAGTTGTCAGCATTTTATCCCCCGCCGCAGCCGCCCCCGCCCGTCCCAGCCAAGATAAGCTGGAAAGCGGTGAAGATTGGGATTCGCTCGTTCGGGAGCTCATGGATAGCAAGCCTGGCCAGTACGAGAAATCTGTTCGCTCCGAGCGCATTCAGCTCATTTTGAAGGGCTTCAACCACCCTGACGCAGACACATTGATCAAATCCACTCCAACGCTGCTTGCTGGTGTGCGCAAGACGAACAAAATGGGCTTCTCTGGAGCGCCCACGAAAGCCCGATCCGACATATACCTGACTATCGATGGTGCTTCTCTTGCGAGACAGAACCTGCTGTCAAGATTCGGCGCTAGCCCGTCTGCAATTCCAAGCTCCATGCAAGGCAATAACCTGCAGGTGATTCTCTCAGTACGACGGTCATCTGGAGAGCGAATCGAAAACTGCATATTCGCTTCGTCTAACGCAGAGGGTCTGACAACCTGGAAGTCCGTTGCCGTTGAACGAGGAGAGGCATGGAAGCAGACGATTCGTCTATCAATTCAACCGAACGATGTTCCCGATGCGCACGTGGTTATGTTCTTGTCTGACGTTCCCAATACGCCGTTCGCAGTGGCACACATTCCGCTCTGGGACAAGCGTGCTTTCCGGAGGGATGGTCCTCATCCTTGCCTACTGTACAAGGTAGACGAACACACCTCCACGCCAAAGCCTGGCCCTTCAGGGAAGGGAGGCTATCTCTCTCTGCCCTGGAGTGCGCGAGGCAAGGACGAACAGGTGGAAGTTACTGGCCCGGTTGCCACGCTCCGTGTCGAGACCTACCTCTGCAGCACCCGGTTTTCCCAAGATAGAGTCGTCCTGGGTCTGCTCAAGTGGAAGGAGTCGAGGGACGAGATTCCTGCCATCCTCAAGCAGCTCATCTTCGTGCCAGAAATCGAGATTGTCAAGCTTCTAAACGATGTGCTCGATGCCTTATTTGCTGTTCTGGTCGAGTACTCTGGAAATGGCGAGTACGAGGATCTCGTGTTTACTGCCCTCGTCAGGGTCCTGGGCATTGTGCATGACAGGCGATTCAATCTCGGGCCTCTTGTTGATCATTACGCGGAAACGAGGTTTAACTACCCCTTCGCGACGCCTTGCCTTGTCCAGTCGTTCACAAGGCTACTTGAAAAGCCCACCGAACCCGAGACATCCCGGAAACTGCGGGCGACGTTCAAGGTTGTCAGGCACGTTCTCAAATTCATCACCCATGCCCGTGGTCAGCAAAAGGCCAAGGAAGCACATTTGGGCATTACTGCTACCACCCCCAGCTTTACTAGGAATCTCAGAACCATCTTCAAGGCCCTCGATGCCATGATGCGAAACCCCGCCCCTGCTCTAATCGGTAGTCAGACACTTGCCGTGCAACACTTCCATACGTGGCTACCAGAGCTGGCGGGCCTCTTGACGACGGAAGAGATACTCCATATTGCCATTGACTTCATGGACTCATGTGCGGGTGTCAAGGGCAAACTGGTTCTGTACAAGCTGATTCTAATTATCAACTACTCCAAGCTCGAGATCTTTTCGCAGCCCGAACAGCGATCTGCGCTCAGTGCTAATACCGTCCGGTGGATCGCGCCTCACTGGGGTCATATCGAGGAAGTGACAGAACAGTGGCGCGATCAAGTAAGGCTGTGCTGCTCGGTCGTCGCTAGCCACATTGACTATGTTGGCAACGAGATCCCCGATTATATCCCGAAGATTATCGAGTCATATCTCGTGATTCAGGCCACCCCGCGAACACCGAAGACGCGTTTGTCTCTGCTATTCCCTACTTCGTACCCATTCGTCAACAAGATCCTGCCCGAACCCGTATCATTTGATGAAGCCCTTATTGAATTGTCGGCCGTCTTGTCTGCGCTCTCCACTTCGCCCGCTGGTGGAATGCAGCTGGAGTTGGCGGATGGCGATCTGACGAGCCTCATGGAACAGACGCTGCGTGTCCACAAGAGCATCCTGTCAGGTGAAGCCTTCCCACCCGAGTGGTTGAGCATCCACATCTACCACCACAAGTCCACTATGCGGACCCTTCAGTACCTCGCGGGCATCATGCTCGAATCGTTCTTACCAGACCCGGAGGAGGCCGAAAATTTCAACACGGAGCTCTGGAAGCTGTTCTTCTCAACTCTGCTGAAGCTCGTTGGTAGTTCCTCCCTTGCATTAGAAACTTTCCCCGAGCAGAAACGCAGGGCCGTTTGGAAGATTGCTGGGGACGTGCGTGAACACGGGGCCGAACTCTTGCGCCGAACCTGGAGCGCTATTGGTTGGGAGACGAGCGCAGACGAGAGGGAGTACTTCCCCTTTGGAAAGATGGGCGGATACCAAGTGCAATATGTACCCTCTCTTGTTGGTCCAATCGTTGAGCTCTGCCTGAGCGTCCACGGCGGTTTGCGCAAGATGGCAGTCGAGGTGTTGCAGACGATGATGGTTAGTGAATGGACCATTAGTGAGGATTTGTCCGCTATCCAGACGGGGATAATCGAGTGTCTTGATCAGTTCTTCAAGACGAAGCCCATGACCGAGAGCATTCTGCAGAAACTCTTTGTCCAAGAGCTTTTGGACCGCTTTGAGCCGCTCGCCGAGAACCCCGAAGATGACCTGCTCAAGGCTGTAAAGGATTTGATGTCCACAGTCGACCAGTTCCTCGATCTCCTCGTCGCCGTCCGTAGCGGAGACGGTACAAACGAGGCTACGCACCTTATCAACCGTCTCAGACTTATGGAGTTCCTACGAGACATGCGAAAGGAGGAGATCTTCGTGCGCTACGTGCACCAACTTGCTGTGCTGCAAGCAGAGGCAAGGAACCACGCGGAGGCGGGTCTGGCTTTGAGGCTGCACGCGGATCTCTACGAATGGGACCCCATTAAGCAGGCGGCACCTCTCTACGACCCTGACTTCCCCATACAGTCTCAATTTGAGCGAAAGGAGCGCATTTACTTTGACATGATCAAACACTTCGAGGATGGCGAAGCCTGGACTAGTGCTCTCGAGGCCTATCGAGAGCTTCAAGTCCAGTACGAAACTAACGTGTTCGACTTCGCCAAGCTCGCCAGGACCGAGCGGGCGATTGCCAAGATTTACGAGACAATCGTGAAGAGTGACAAGCTGGTGCCCAAGTACTACAAGGTTGTGTACAAGGGCCTTGGGTTCCCCACCAGCCTCCGTGACAAAGAATTCGTCTACGAAGGGGGTCCGGCCGAGAGGACCTCCGCTTTCACGGATAGAATGCAGGAGCTGTACCCGGCTGCCCAGATTGTTACGAATGGCGATGTTGACGAGGTCGAAGGCCAGTACTTGGTCGTCTCCTCGATTACCCCTCATCGCGATACCGCCCACCACGTCTTCCAGAGAGCCAGAGTGCCGCATCCCATTCGCGATTATCTTCTGTCCGCCCACCCCCAGACCTTCTCCGTCTCCACGAAACGTAGTACTAGCGGACCCATTACCGATCATTATGCCGAGAAGCTCGTGTACACCACGGCCGAGCCTTTCCCCACCATCCTTCGACGAAGCGAAATTGTCGGCACGCACGAGATTAAGCTAAGCGCTCGGGAGACGGCGCTCGAACGCATCACGCGTAAGACGCAGGAGATGAGCACGTTGGAGAAGCGCGTAAGTGAGGGCGACCTCGAGAGCGCCCGGATCCTCTTTGAGACGGTGGCGTCATCGGTGAACCCTGTCGCCGAGAATAGCATCGTGCGGTATCGGGCGTTTGTTCCGGTGTCTGACATGGAGGATGAGGTGATGGAGTTGGAACCTGAAGACAACGCGATCAAGATGGCTTTGGTGGATCATGCCTTTGTGCTTAGGAAGTGTTTGGCTACCTTTTCCAAGAGTTCTATCGATGCCTTGTCAAGGAATCACGAGGAACTGCAGAGGTGTAAGTTTATAAACCCTATACTTTTTCTTTTTTCTTTTTTCTTTTTTTATGTGGCAACCTAATACTAACTTGGTGATGGATAGACTTTGAAAATACCTTTGCTGCCGAGATAGAACTCTTTATGATGCCCCAGCCTCCCCAGGATGCCGGTTCTCCGCCTTCCGCCTGGAGACTATCTCCCTTAACGGAGAAGGCTCCGGTGTCGAGCATTGCGGTCACTATGTCCCAAGACATGGGTGGCGTTGAGGTAGCAAGTGCGCATGCCGCTAAGGCCGGACGCGCGCCCCGGCTGAGCTTCCTTGGTGGTAAGAGGAAGGACCAGGGTAGCAGGCCCAACGGAGAACACCAGCAGTCGCACCACCAACATCAAAATTCTCGGTCACAGGCGAACCAGCAAGTGAGCAGCAATGGTGACGCGGCTGGCGTTAGGAATCGTTCTACTAGTCGAGGAAGCGGTAACAATGCCCAGAACCGAAGAAGCTTCTTCCGATCCCACCCAATTGAAGTACCAGGGACCAACAACCACCGGCCGCCTTCTGCCAACGGCGGCGTCAAGGACCATAGCAGTGACTGGGTGACGGAGACGCGCGGGCGTTCCAGTCTAGATATTGGTGATAAGGACGGCGACAAGGGGGTCGGCATCCACAAGAAGGGAAGCGTCAGGAGGCGGCTAAGCTTGTTGAAGATTGGGAAGAAAAGCACTCCTAGGCCTGCAGCGATGGGGGCCCTCGACGAAGAGTAGGGATTCATCCGAGGTTACACGTCTTCGCAGATGCCGAGATACACGTTTAGTGCACCGAACGATTGGGAAGACGACTCGGACGGTTCGGCATTCCAGTGGCCGCTTTAAAGTAATTGGCTTTCGTGATGGACGGAAAGCAGAAAGCATGGTGAAAACGACACATCTCAATCTACACACATCCCACATTCGTAATTTCCTTATCCCGTTATTACACCTTACTGGTTGGGGAGAAGGGAATCCCTTCTCTCTTCTACCCTCGCCTTCGTTCTCTCATCCGTCTTCTTTCTTATCTCTCTCTCTCACACACCCTCTCTCTCTTCTTGTTCTCTATTCACTTCTCGTTATTTACTTTGGGGCTCATTTCCCCATTTTCTCTCTTTAACTCCTTTTTTTATTTTTATTTTTTTTTTTTTTTTATTAACGATACATCGGACGGGGGTGGGATTTGCTTCTTGTGGGACTATGTTGAGCGGACTTGAGTTGTATTTTTAGCATTATATCCCCCTTTGCTACCTGTTGATGAATGACATATACTTCAATAGTTCACTCTGTGCTGATCTTGGGAGGAGGGTTGAAACTGGCGAGATGCTCACGTTTGTATTTGAAAGAATTTCACGGGCTTTCCAAACGGTATTGGATTTCGTTCTACCTGTATGGCACCCATGACATAACGCTGCAGCGCTTCCGATACCATTTGAGATTGAATGGTTTTTCTCCAAACTCCAAGCCCTACGTACTCTTCTTCAATCTTCCTTTCTTCTCTGCATTACTCGGATTTTCATACGTATTCCCTACTCGCACTCCTCCCAAATCGCCTGGAAGTGCACGCTCAGCGCGTTATCAAGCGACTCGTCGTCCGAGCCGACGGTGCCGGCCGTGGGCTCGTCGCCCTCGCGGTAGAGGGTCAGAGTGGTCTTGACGCGGATGAAGGGGACGGTGCCGTCGTCGGCTATGCAGTCGGACCAGGTCTCGGGGGAGGTTTCGACGTGGGCTGTGAAGTTGGAGGAGGTTACGTCTGCGGGGAGGATGGTGAGTTCTCCGGTCTGTTTTGGATTTGGTGAGATGTTAGCTTGATTTAGACTTTTCCAATATTTGGGCTTATTTCTGGAGTTGATTGACTTACACCACCTTCTATATCACCTAAGGTCGCCTCAACGGCCACCTTCAACGCACTCCCCTCCTCAAGCTCTGCAACACCACTAACCGTGACGGCAGGGATACGAATCCGATACCCCGGCGGGCCGCCACCCAACTGCATTTCTTCAACGCAAAACTTTTCGACCGAGTTAGCGGGGCGGCTTTCGTCGTCGGGGTCTTCTCCAGCGGAATCGGAGTCTTCGGAGTCGAGGTCGGCGAGGTTGAGGTTCCACATTGTGAATTTGAATACGGGGGTGCCGTTTACGGCGCCGGCGCCTATGCCACCTCCGCCGAGGGGGCAGCCTGTGCCTAGCATGTTGAGGGAGTCGAGGGTTGGGAAGATTGGGGGTGGGTCTTGGGCTGTTGTGAGGGTTGGGAGGAGGAAGAGGATGGGGGCGAGGGAGAGGAGGGACATTTTTGATGTTTGATATGTAGGCAGATTGGAGAAGGTAGAGTTCAACGTGTCGAAGACTTTGGGGGGAAGTAGAGGAGGATATTCTATGAGTTTTGATGGAACTAAGCTTGAGCTCAAGGGATTGGGAAGGCAGACATATATATCTCTTTATATCTCATTCTATCTAGACCCGGGAACCAGGAAAATGGGATTCTTATGTAGACAAGGCCCCCTGGTCTCAAGCTCAAGCTCATATACTGCTCCACGGAACGCATTCATCTCGGTTGCCAGGTTTCTCAATTGCGCGATGGGAATAACCCTGAAATGCAGGGCATGAGGTAGATAGAAGCGGGGATGCGAGGCGAGGCACGCAATATGGAAAAGATGGCCGCTCTCGTCTCCTATGAATAGGAGCTTTACGTTTATTGGAACTACGAGGAACTATTGCAGGTGGAAGAAAATGTCGATGGCATCAGCTCTTCCCGGCTATATTGGAGGACTGCGATAACGAAACGGATGTGTCAATTTTCTGGTATAGGGCGGGAGAGGAGAGCGGGAGAAATATAAATTGAGGGGATGAACCAAGAGAGAGGGGCAGCAATGGACAAGAGTTTGGGTTATTGGGAAGGAAAGAGTGTTATAAGCTTATATTAGGATATTTTACCCCCCTTCTATTCGCTTGTCCATAGCTCTGGATATATGGACCGATACACTTACCGGATGGGCCATGCTGATATCAACGAGATAGAGATATGTGCGTAGCTAAAAATGGGCGCGGAATTGCCAATAATACAAGTAATATGTGGCCAATTGGACGGGATCGGCATCGCGGAACCTCCATCTTCGCCTCGGAAGGAATCAATAGACTGAAACACTGAAGAAGACCAATTTGGGACTTAGAGTTGCTACGACACTGGGACCGGCGGCGTGGGCCGGATCGGCGGATTGCAGGTGATCGGCGCACGGGAAAAGGAGGGATGGGACGAAATATACGAATAAGGCGACAAAGACAGGAGAGGGATGCCAAGACGGGAAAGAGTCTAGTTATCTTCGTGATGGTGAGATGTTTTGGGTAGGTTTCTATTTTCTGGAGATTTCCGGGACGTATTTTTGGTTCCGGAGAATAGGTTATATCGTTTCGGGCTTGGTTTCTCTTTTTTCCTCGGCTAGGTTCCGCAGGGTTTTTGAATAGCCTGGCATGACGAAGGGCGGAACATTGCGGGAACGGGGAGAATTGATATCAGGATGGAGAAATGAACTTCAGTTGAGGTTGAGTTCGTGATAACCCACGCGCTGACATTTGTCGGGTAGGTCCTTCCCTTCTTTTCCCTGATAAACGGTAACGATAAGTACTGGTTTGTTCCTTCCATTCTTATATCTACGACAGTATCGTCTAATTTCATCCGCGAACCTGATCCCGCTTTCCACGTGCGTTGAATATCCAGATATTCATCCAGAGCATTTAATCCAGGCTCGAGGGTGGCCGTCGGTTATTGATTCTTTGGCTATATACCGGGGTTGCATATTAGGCCCATTCTCAACCCTTTGGCGATTGTTTGTCGAAAATATGCAGGGAATTCTGCCGGAGGGAACCTCACGGGGTCGTTGAAATGAAGGGTGGGATGAGGGATGGTACCATACTACGGCCTGCCTTCTATCCGACACTCTGGCCTGCTGCGAGGACGGACGTGTGTCCAAGGAGCGGAGACCTTCAGCCGAGACCTTCAGCCCCCCGAACGGCGATGCCGTGGGAGCCGAAGACAGATGTCTCGATATCTTTGGGGAAGTTCTTCGCCATGTTGGCTCCTCTGGATTACCCTGGCAGATCTGTTGATTATGTTGGGCTAATGATAAGTGGAACAGCTAAGTTACGTTTTCCATTATCGAAGGAGGCCTTGTCGTGGAGATTGATCTGGTTCTTTCCTTTTGGTCTCGGGCTTGCCATCTTATTTGCGATAGATGAGGAGGGCAGTTACTGCGAAGTTTGGGGTCTAGCAAACTGCGACATGAAACTCAAAGTATGGACAACAGCCGATTCTCGTCCCTTGGGAGTATTGTTGTCTATTGACCTATTGACCCAGGAATCATTTCACTTCTTGACTGCCATTTCACCCCAGCACGTGAAGAATTCATTCAACCCACTTCCTATTCATTCCTTTGGATGACCTCGGTGGTTACTCCCCTCAGGATCTCAGGATCTTCATCACGAGCCGAGCTCCTAGTTGAGGGAAGGGGCATCACTCACGCTTTTTCAAGATTCATCCTCCCTCATATCACGTCAGTGGCTCCTGCTTGAGGAACTTATACCATTGGCAATCTTGGCAATCAATCTCATGAGTAGTTTGGGGAAGCCCACATGCTGCTGGCAAGGGAGAAATACGGAAGGGGATAGACCGCCGGCCACGATCCCGGAAGCTTTCACCCAGCTTCCAAACCCGAATCGTGCCTACCAAACATTCTGTTTGTGGATAATCTTCTTCACGACTATAGATCGCCTGCAAGTGAATGCATCCCGACTGAATCATGGCCTCCAAATACACATGTGATCGAGTGATCTGAACTTCTATATAATGAGCGTCTCCCCTCCTCTCATCCCATCCCATCCCATCCCAAACCCAAACCTCTTCTCTCTTCAACCCTCAAGTGGTTCGTATATATCAAACTACCTACCTCTTTTGATTGTCCTTCAGCTCGTCCAAGGAATTATCATGGGCTGCCCTTTGTTTCGGGGAGAACATTTCAGAGAAGGAATGCTGGGTCATGCGACGCATCAGGCTTGGCCTCCTCCTGAAGGACGAATCGCCTCTCGAGGCACTTGGCGTCATCAAGACAGCATTTCAACTTGTCGCAAAGGCCAACAGACTGACGGCTAAGAAGGTCAACCTCGTGTATAGCTACTATATACGGCCGGCGTGTTGCACTGGGATGATCCTATTTCTACAGGAACGAATGCCTGCCTCGGCCATCCCTTATAGTCTGGGGTAAGGTGAAGGTGAAGCGGGACAGCATAGTCCGTTTCTCTTCCCTTTGCCCTGCCCTGACGGTATTTCCACGATGCTGGATGAACTGCGAGGCTCCATTCCGGGGCAACGCAGCGAATTCCGCCAAGACGCCATTTGTTAATTCTTGACACTCGACCCCAGGGTTCGTTCTCAGTTTGGGAGCACCTTTCTCGCAGACGGCTAAGTCTCCTAAGCAGGGAAAAAAGAGTTAGTTCGATGAGAGGACCTTGCTTAAGGGCTTTACCGTCATCGTCATCGTTCCACCTTGCGTTTTACGATCGATATGGAGGGCGGGGCTTCTCGCGTAAGCCGCATTGCCCTCCCAGACAAAGGTACATCAACAAGGGATCAGGAGGATATGGTCTCTTTATTTCTTCCATTCTCGTTTTCCAAGGACAATCCAGACGAGTCGCCTTGGGCTTCGCTCCAGCTCCTTGCGCGGATTCTCAATGGCGATAGTGAAGAATCAGAGGAGACGTTGGTCTTATATAGACACTGTTTACCACATTGGAAGGAGATAGGGAGAGAACGTCATCATGCCTTCTGACTGGCACCAATGAGTGTGCAGCCTAGAAGCCGCGGGGTGGTCGTTTATTCCTTGATTACTTCCTGGGGTTTTCTGGAACTGGCATCGGTATTGGTCTCAACGTCTTTCTTCCGAACGTCGATTCCTCCGAGCAAAATTTGAGCAGGATGGAAGTAGTTGGTTTCGGGGTTGATGCTGTTCCGCCGAGTGCGTTACAACAGCTGCCTGGCATCCCGAGAGCCGAAGATGGCCCAAAAGCTGGCTCGGGAGTATGACACCGGGGTAAACCTCCGTGTCCTGACGAACCATTGCTCGGGCCTTAAGACGGCTCACATCGTGCCTAAAGAGGAGTCAGAGTGGTTTACCCGACAACAGATGGAAGTCGGGCCCCGTTGGCTTCTCCACCTAGCCATCCCAGCTCAAAAAAATAGCGGCCGCGATGTTGTCGCAGGAGAACCCCTAAGCAGCCTTATCTACGAGGCTGTCCCGGGGGCTATTGGCTAGGCTATCAAGAAGTACGTGGATTCACAGACCACGTGAGAGGGCCTAGACAACTAGTTCTACCTTCCAAGGAGGGCTTTGAGTGAATAATCACCCCCCCTCGTCCCAACGGGACGAACGAATAGCTGATCGCGAAGGCTACAGACTCCGGCACAATCGCCGCGGAATAATATCACAATATGTATACGCCATATCGATGTGGAATAGCGAGGAAATTGCCGAGTCTCACCAACTTTTCAACGTACGAGATGGCTTATTGGCGACACTTCATTGTTTCGTTTAGCATTCCTGGATAACGCCGATCCCAGTCTGTGCCCTGTGCGTATTGACAAGAGTTTGATTGTGCGCGGGCTGTTATCCCTCTCCTTCACTCGGAGATGGGGGACCTGCAAGAAATCTCATCGAGTGAAGAAATGGGAAGATGCGACGTCCTTCTCTGCACCGCTCTGGACCTCAACTATGCGCTTTCTCGGCCCAAATACTGGGCTAAAAAACGCGGTTGCCCTGGGCTATCAGTGGGCGCATGGTAGTTATTGGAACTACCGCCAGCTCTGGTCCCTGGGTCGAACTCCTGACCTAAGGCGGCTCAATACCATGTTGACATGGCGGAGGTGCAGGCTTGAGACTGAGGTCTCTGCGGTCCAGTTATGTCAAATCTCGAGAGAAGCCGTGAGTTCCAGGGGCCCGAATCCTCGCCGAATCCTCGAAGACGGTCTGCTTAGTGTTAAGGGCCATTTCAAGAGGAAAGCCGATCTGAGCAACTTTCGACAAAGGGTGTCATCTCGGTGTCTTTTGGCGTCTTTTGTGACCAGGGGTTTTCTACCGAAATACTGAGGTCTAGCCCCGGTGCCTAGTATCTCGACGTGGTGGTAATTTGAGAGAGCATTCTTTCCTGGGAGAGTTACTACCGAGAACCTATTGGCAGGCGGGCGCGCCACCCCTTCATCTCAAAACTAAAATGAGAGTTAGAGACTCCAAGCTGCCTCCAGCCA